GCTCGTCGTTTATGGCTGAGAAACCCCCTGGCTTGAACGGCCTCCTCCCTCTCCTCCCACGCCCGCCCTGCCGCCCGACATAGATCCTGCCACTGCTCATACTCCCTCTCCCTCAGACTAGCCCTGAACCACCCCCCAGCTGCGGCCGGGGGAGGCGCTGAGGAGAAGGGAACTGGGGAGGGTGGGACTGGGGACGGTGGGACAGGGGAAGGGGGAACTGGGGAAGGGTGGACTGCGGCTGTCACAGGGATGGCTGGCGGAGGAAGGGATGGGGACGCTGGAGCTTCTGCTGCTGCTGGCATCGCATCTGAAGGATCCACGCCATCAGGAACCTCAGGTGCTTCAGGTGCCTCAGGTGCCTCAGGTGCCTCAGGTGCCTCAGGTGCCCCAGGTGCTTCAGGTGCATCAACAATGTGGTCGGCCACAATAACACTCCCCCCCTCCTGCTCCGCTTCCTCCTCGTCCTCCTCCCCTCTCTTCCCTTCCTCCCCCTCCACATTTTCAGCCATCCTCCCATCCTCCTCCCCAGGACCCCCCTCTTTTTCCTTCTCTCCCTTTTCCCCCCTCCCCTGCCCTCTTCTCTCTCCCTTCTCTTTCCCCTCTTCGCATTCTCCTTCGCCCTCTCCTACCGTCAATACAATGCTCACTTGCTTCCGCTCCTTTGGGGGACCGCCTCCCGCGTGCGCGGACCTAGTCAGCGCCATCACAGGCATTGGCGCAGCGCCGGCCCCCGCGCCCGCGCCCCATTTTCCCCTAATCGGCGCAGCCTCTCCGCCGCGCCAGAGCATCGTGCGCGGAGATTCCAGGGATCTCCGCCGCGCCCTAGGCGCTTCTAGCGACGCGCTCGGGTCTTCCCCCCATTGCTCCCAAAACTCCATCCAAAACGCCATTCCCACCAGCAGCGCCTCTTCCATTCGCTCCACGTTTACATAAACACCGCTTTCCACCGCCTCTCCGCTCTCCGTCCTCGTAGCGTTGCGCTCATCCGCACTTGCGGCATTGCCAAAAGCCCCGCCGGCATACTCCCCCTTGTTATACATCCCTTCTCCGCCAGGACTGCGCACGCTGCCCCAGTAACCTCCGCGAGCTCCCCCTCCGCCTCCGCCTCCGCTCCCGCTTCTCTCGCCAAGCTCCGCGCCATCCCCCCCGCCGAGCTCCGCGCCGAGCTCCGCCGCCTCCTCTATCCGCTCCACCAGGCGCTGATACTCCGCTTCTGCGCGCGCCTGCACGTCCAGAAGCCCCGCGCGGATGACGTCATCCGCCCCGCCCAGGGGTAGCAGCAGCGAACGCGAGCGCGGGGTCAGCGGCTGCGGCTGCACGAGGGGGAAGTACGGCGGGGGGAGCGCGCGCGTGCGCGGGGATGGGGAGGAGACGAAGAAGGAGGAAGAGGCGGAAGATGCGGAGGAGGAAGAGGAGGAGGCGGAAGAAACAGGCGCCGAAGCCTGCGCCAAGCGGGGGGAATAGGCGGAAAACTCGGAGGACGGGGAGAGAGACGGGGAGGAAAGGCGGTCGAGGAAAATGGAAAGGAGCCCCGGGAGCGCGTCTCCCGGCGGAAGCTGCGCCATGATTTGGCGCGCGCGGATAAGGCCGCCATTGGCGGGCGTGTAGGGGCCGAAGTGGTGGGGGTTGTTGGAGAAAAGATCGGAAGGAGAGAGGCAGATGGGCCAAAGCTGAGGCTGCGGCTGTGGCTCCTCGTGTATTGGCTGCGCGGACAGCGCTTGGCCCATAATGGCAGCAATGCGCCGTAAGGAGGAGGGTTACAACGGGTACGGATGTAAAAACGGGTGCGAGGAGTTTCGGCGTTTCAGCTTGGAGATATTCTTATAGTGGAAATAGGGGCTATTCTTAGCGAGCGGATTCGTGAGCGAGAGCTTGGTATTAGTCACGCGGAAGACGGGATTAGAGATACGGAAGCCGAGGCGGCGACAGCCCGCTCAAACAACAGTCATTCACTTAGCGATGCAACGAGTCACCGCGCGTATTATGTCGCATTGTGGCGCGCCGAGTGCTCAAGAGAGGACATTTCAGCGGGCTTATAGCAAGCCGCGCTGCGGCAGTCGAGAGTTTATCCAACGAGAGAAGGTAGCTGCATGGTAAGAAATGGACGGAAGAAAGGATGAGAAAACCTAAGCCAAGGAGGACAAAGGTGGTGATGGGAACGGGTGGGTTGGGTTGGGGCGAGTTGGAACATTTGCCTAGCTTGTGTACCTGATTGACGAGGGGGCTGGGTGGTTGGGTATGATACAGTGACAAGGAGAATTGATTGGTTGAACTGGTGTGCTTGCTTTGCTTGCTGCTTGCGAGATTGGCTGTCGGTACAGCTGCTGAAATGCTCTCCAGTTTCAGCGGTGTGCTTGGAATGTGTTTCACTAATTGAGTGCGCTGAAATGTACTGCACCGCTTTTGAACGCACTGCACTGCAATGCTCCACACTCTTGTTTACTCTGCTCTGCACTGCTCTGTCCTTCGAAGCGAGCTTTCTCGGAGAGAGACGAATCGTGTGGGACGTAGTACGGGGCATTGGATTCGAGGATTGCTTGCAGAGGCCAGTGCAGCAACAATCGGGATGAGCGAATGGGTTGGTTGGGAAAAGTGTCTGGCGACAAGAGAGGTATTCCTGTTTCAAAAAGCTTCACTGCGAAAACCAAGGTCGTATCTTAGACGGGAAGCTTTTCTAGGGCAAAAACCACGCACCAGCTCAGAACAGGTTCACACATTGTTTCCTCAGGACCTTGATTCTAAAAAATGCTCCACGATTGGGCTTTCTGCTGTGGGTGGTTCAGTAAGGCATCGCTGAGGATCAGGTCCGAAGAAACGAAGCTATACAATGGCTCAGGACACGTTGAAAGTAGACGACCGACCGGGCGTGGCGATCAATATGCAGATCTGTAACCCGATTTACTCTGATGTAATCTTTCTACAGAAAAGTTTTTGGCCAAATTTTGTGCAGTGTGTGAATGCGACTGATCACTGATCGCGGGAGATCAGTGAGAGGCATCAAAGCGTCATTGATGCTCTCGAACCGAGCCTACCTGGCGCGATTGATTCTGATGCCTGCGACTTTACGAAATTTCGCAGAGCCAGGAATCGCTGTCGCCCAAATTGTCCACATTTGGCGAAATCTGTAAGCATCACATCGCCAGGGTGGTTGCCTTGTTGGCTGCGAGTGTCGCAGGTGGGTATGACGACGTATGTGTTTTGGGTGCGAGTCGCATGCAGGGCAGTATCAAAGCTCAGGTGCGATCGTTACAACGTATCGGTCTTCATGTTTCGCCAATCGATCTGCCCACTCAATTGTGGGGCTCGATTTATGCTCGCGATCCCGCGAAATTTGCACTTACAGCGCGTCCTCAACCTGGCGGAGGAGAGTGTTGATCAATACTCGAAACACTCTCCGGAATGTAGTTTGTGATATTGCCCAAAGTGCGACTTTGAGGAGGGTGTGTGTGTGTACTTGCCCAAACGTAACGGATGTTCCCTTCTTCTTGGACTGTTCGGGCAGGGCCGCCTGCCCTGACCTGATTGGGTCCTTCATCCATGGGGGGTCGAGAACGAGATGGCGTATCTAGGATTGCCCCTCAGCACACCCTGTACTACTACAACAGCACATGCCATAATCGGAATGCACTGTATAGAGACATACGATTTCCAATGCTGGAAAATTCTCACTACATTTGTGTCTTGCAGACTTTCTTGCACACTGTTAGCGTTTGTCTGTGCAAAGTTTGGGGGATGAGGGCAGACGGAAACATATTGGTCACCCAACAGAAAGCAAAAGCGCTGTTTCTACAGAAAAACCACGTCAACATTCCCACGTCAGCAATTATGAGGCATCTTGAACATGAGTGCGACAGTCAGTCGCGTCACGTGTACAGTACAGCCCTGGTCAGCAGTAATGGAACATGAACCCGTTCCTTCTGTCAAGACATCAACAGCACACTGTAATGCTGATTTCACATATGCAAGATAGAGCATATCATCTTTCTCTTGACATAGGGGTGGGCGAATGAGACAGAAACATAAAAAAATAAATATATTGAAACATCACAATCTCTATCTCTACTATTGTTGACATTATCAAATAAAACTCGGTAACAGACTGGTCCCCATGTATGTATGCTGCACACTATGTAGTGACGAGTTCGTTTAAAAAGTTCAGCAATGACGGGTACTGGTAAACAACAGCTCGTGCATCGCACCTCCACGAGTCTCCGTAACCCGTCGATCACGAAAATCCCAGCCGCACTAGCGACTCAATTCGGACCGCACGATCACTTACACTCTCGTGAATCTTGACGGCGGGCGACGTGTAGCTTCACTCACACAGCGCAGCACCCCCACAGCAGTGCCACGTCACCTTGAGGAACCATCCCCGAAGTAGTAAACGGTCAGTCCTCAGGGATTGGCGGAGTCATAATTGTCCTACGGTTATTACTACTGCGATCCTTTGCTAGTGGTCCAAACACTTGGTCCCTAACACTTTGGTCCCTAACGCTTGGGCTCTAACACTTGGCGATACCAGGTGACCCAGCTTGTTGTTTGTGATCTCGACTGCTTTGCCGCAGGAGTCGTCTGAAAGTCGCTCGCTTGGTAACACAGCATCGTCGTCGAACAATTAATCCGTTTCTGACTTAGACTGGTACTGGTGTTCAAGTATTATAAGTTATTTTTTTTCGAACGGAAAGACAATGAGGCATCGACAAGTCCGCGTAATTTGAAGCAAGGATGACGTTGATCCAAGGGTTGTTAACTATCCTTGCGACGTTTTGTCGTCAATCTGTAGCCGTACGATCTAGAGAAAGTAGAGACATCTGACGGACAGGCATGGCGAAGGTGTACCAGGCCTGGAAAGGCGACAACGTGAGTCGCATTTCATTATATGCTGATAGTGAGGATCCTTATAACGCGTACTTCGTGTTTTCTGCCGCACTCGGTGTTTTCTCGTCGCATCGCATTCCGTCGCACTCCGTCGCATTCCATCTCATTTCAGCGCGAGAAGAATGTTACTGAGTCGCCTCAATAGTCACCTTCTTCCTCGTCCTTCCACTCGTCGTCTATGGTCAACTTCCCACCTTCCCTCAAGAGCCCAACTCCCCGCTTCACCTCCGCAACTTCCCCTCCCCCACCCCCCCAACCCCTTCTTATTTCCCCGTCCCCTCTTTCTCCCCCCTCCAACCCCTCACTCCCTCCCTCCCCCCGTTTCCCCTCTCCCTATTCTCCGCTCCCCTCCTTTCCCCCCACTTCTCCAGGTGTTTCTGTGCTACGGTCAGTTCATATTCGGTCCCGATTTCCGCTCGCTGGTGCTGTCGTTCCTGCTCATCCTTATACCGGGGATACTCTTCTGCGTCTTCGTGGCCGCGCAGCTTCCTGGAAAGATTCCTGGAGGCATCGTCGTGCTTCCAGTTGCTATCTGTTACATTGCATGGGTGCGTTTTGTCGCATGAGTGGTGGATTGAGTCGCATGAGGGGTGGGTTGAGTCGCATGAGTGGTGGGTTGAGTCGCATGAGTGGTGGGTTGAGTCGCATGAGTGGTGGGTCGAGTCGCATGGGTGGGTGGGTTGAGTCGCATGAGTGGGTGGGTCTTCGCCCCTCCCCCCCATCAGTTCCTGAACCGGACATGCACCCTTTCGCACCCCTCTGCACCCTTTCCACATCCCCCCCACTTCTCCCTTTCCTTTCAGAACCTCTTCATTCTGGTCTTCACAGCGTGCAGGGATCCAGGCATCGTGCCTCGCAACCTCGTCCCCCCAGACCCTGATCCGGATATCCGGATATGCACCCCTCCCTTCCTTCCACCCCCCGCCCCCCCATCCTCCCCAGAACCTCTTCATCCTGGTGTTCACAGCGTGCAGGGATCCAGGCAACGTGCCTCGCAATCTCGTTCCACCTGACCCTCCGTCCACTTCCTCCCTGCCATTCCTCTCCTCACCCTCCCTCCAGAACCTCTTCATTCTGGTATTCACGGCGTGCAGGGATCCAGGCAACGTGCCTCGCAATCTCGTTCCACCTGACCCTCCGTCCACTTCCTCCCTGCCATTCCTCTCCTCACCCTCCCTCCAGAACCTCTTCATTCTGGTATTCACGGCGTGCAGGGATCCAGGCATCGTGCCTCGCAATCTCGTTCCACCTGACCCTCCGTCCACTTCCTCCCTGCCATTCCTCTCCTCACCCTCCCTCCAGAACCTCTTCATTCTGGTATTCACGGCGTGCAGGGATCCAGGCATCGTGCCTCGCAATCTCGTTCCACCTGACCCTCCGTCCACTTCCTCCCTGCCATTCCTCTCCTCACCCTCCCTCCAGAACCTCTTCATTCTGGTATTCACGGCGTGCAGGGATCCAGGCATCGTGCCTCGCAATCTCGTTCCACCTGACCCTGATCCGGACATGCTAGAAGCTATGCGCCTGGAGGGGGCGGGGCTTGCCACGGGGGGAAGGTTCAGTCTGCCGAGAACTAAAGACGTGGAGATTAACGGGTTTCGAGTGAAAGTTAAATACTGCGACACGTGCCTTCTGTACAGGTGGGTGGGGCGATGGGTGTGGGTGGGTGTGGAAAGGTTTGATAAGGTTTGCAGTTGGGTGGTGTGATGCTCACCTTTCCTGGCCTTGCAGACCCCCCTGCTGCTTGCACTACAGCTTGTGCAACAACTGTGTGGAGCGGTTCTCAAGTCATAAGCTCCAGTCTGATTCTCCTTCCCCCCCCTCCTCTCCGCTCCCTCCCCGCGTCCCCCCATGTCTCAGACCCCCCCGCTGCTAGCGCTGCAGCGTGTGCAACAACGGTGTGGAGCGAGGTGACTTTTGAGTCGACTCAAAAGTCAACTGTGTGGAGCGTGGCATACAGTGTTCCCTCTCGCTGCGTTTCTCTGACCTTAGCCCCCACCTCTCAATCCCCCCCTTCCCTGCAGACCCCCCCGCTGCTCGCACTGCAGCGTGTGCAACAACTGTGTGGAACGATTCGACCACCACTGCCCGTGGGTGGGGCAATGCATAGGCAAGGTGAGGAGAGGGAGAGCATCGGCAAGGTGAGGAGAGGGAGAGCATCGGCAAGGTGAGGAGAGGGAGAGCATCGGCAAGGTGAGGAGAGGGAGAGCATCGGCAAGGTGAGGAGAGGGAGAGCATCGGCAAGGTGAGGAGAGGGAGAGCATCGGCAAGGTGAGGAGAGGGAGAGCATCGGCAAGGTGAGGAGAGGGAGAGCATCGGCAAGGTGAGGAGAGGGAGAGCATCGGCAAGGTGAGGAGAGGGAGAGCATCGGCAAGGTGAGGAGAGGGAGAGCATCGGCAAGGTGAGGAGAGGGAGAGCATCGGCAAGGTGAGGAGAGGGAGAGCATCGGCAAGGTGAGGAGAGGGAGAGCATCGGCAAGGTGAGGAGAGGGAGAGCATCGGCAAGGTGAGGAGAGGGAGAGCATCGGCAAGGTGAGGAGAGGGAGAGCATCGGCAAGGTGAGGAGAGGGAGAGCATCGGCAAGGTGAGGAGAGGGAGAGCATCGGCAAGGTGAGGAGAGGGAGAGCATCGGCAAGGTGAGGAGAGGGAGAGCATCGGCAAGGTGCGGAGAGGGAGAGCATCGGCAAGGTGAGGAGAGGGAGAGCATCGGCAAGGTGCTGCGATGTCTGTTGAGGCACTTAACTGTGTGGTACAACAACTGTGTGGTACAACAACTGTGTGGTACAACAACAACTGTGTGGTACAGCAACAACTGTGTGGAACGACAACTGTGTGGTACAACAACTGTGTGGTACAACAACTGTGTGGTACAACAACTGTGTGGTACAACAACAACTGTGTGGTACAGCAACAACTGTGTGGTACAGCAACAACTGTGTGGAACGACCCGACCACCACTGCCCGTGGGTGGGGCAGTGCACAGGCAAGGTCAGAGAGAAGGGCAGTGCACAGGCAAGGTCAGAGAGAAGTGGAGTGCACAGGCAAGGTGTGGAACTACCGGTTCTTTTTCGCGTTCGCCACCACAACAACCCTCCTCTGCTTCTTCGTATTCGCCATCAGTGCCCTCCTCATCGCCATACTCGTGAATTTTGAGTCGACTCAAAAGTGCCCTCCTCATCGCCATACTCGTGAATTCTGAGTCGACTCAAAAGTGCCCTCCTCATCGCCATACTCGTGAATTTTGAGTCGACTCAAAAGTGCCCTCCTCATCGCCAAACTCGTGAATTTTGAGTTGACTCAAAAGTGCCCTCCTCATCGCCATACTCGTGAATTTTGAGTCGACTCAAAAGTGCCCTCCTCATCGCCATACTCGTGAATTTTGAGTCGATTCAAAAGTGCCCTCCTCATCGCCATACTCGTGAATTTTGAGTCGACTCAAAAGTGCCCTCCTCATCGCCATACTCGTGAATTTTGAGTCGACTCAAAAGTGCCCTCCTCATCGCCATACTCATGAATTTTGAGTCGACTCAGAAGTGCCCTCCTCATCGCCATACTCGTGAATTTTGAGTCGACTCAAAAGTGCCCTCCTCATCGCCATACTCGTGAATTTTGAGTCGACTCAAAAGTGCCCTCCTCATCGCCATACTCGTGAATTTTGAGTCGACTCAAAAGTGCCCTCCTCATCGCCATACTCGTGAATTTTGAGTCGACTCAAAAGTGCCCTCCTCATCGCCATACTCGTGAATAGCTCCTACAAGCCGGGAGGGCAGGGCGGCCCAAGCCCGTGCAAAAGCCAAGTGCATTGAGGTGGTTTTCTCGAGCCGGTTTCTCTTATTCTTTCATTCTCCCTTCCGGTTTCTCGAGCCTGCTTTTGAGTCGACTCAAAAGCCAAGTGCATTGAGGTGGTTTTCTCGAGCCGGGAGAGCCTGCTTTTGAGTCGACTCAAAAGCCAAGTGCATTGAGGTGGTTTTCTCGAGCCGGGAGAGCCTGCTTTTGAGTCGACTCAAAAGCCAAGTGCATTGAGGTGGTTTTCTCGAGCCGGGAGAGCCTGCTTTTGAGTCGACTCAAAAGCCAAGTGCATTGAGGTGGTTTTCTCGAGCCGGGAGAGCCTGCTTTTGAGCCCCAGCCAACCAGGTATGCGTTGAGTGACTGGGTTGCGTCTTCTCTGCTACTGCAGCCCTTCGAAACATGAGTCAGGGTGACCCCTGGGATACCGAAACATGAGTCAGGGTGACCCCTGGGATACCGAAACATGAGTCAGAGCAGCCCCAGCCAAGCGATGGAGAAAAGGCCCTCTCTGCTCCCTCACCAGCCGTTTTCCTCTTGTTCTTTCATTCTCCCTTCCCTAGTTTCGAGTCGACTCAAAGCTAGAAAAGGCCCTCTCTGCTCCCTCACCAGCCGTTTTCTCTTATTCTTTCATTCTCCCTTCCCTCACTCCTCTTTCCTTGCTCCCTTCCTTTTCTCCTCCCCCCAGTGCAACTGCCGGTTTTTCTACACATTCACCGCCACAACACCGCTCCTCTGCCTGTTTGTATTCGCCATCAGCACGCTCCTCATCGCCCTACTTGTGATTAACACCTATGAGCCAGGCAGGCAGCCAGGGACGCTGTGGGAGGCCATGGGAAAGAGGGCCTCTGCCCTCACAGTCCGTTTCACCTTATTCCCTCGTTTCTTCTTTCCCTCCTCCCTCCCCTCCCGCCAGCGCAACTGCCGCTTCTTCTACACATTCACCGCCACCAAAACGCTGCTCTGCCTGTTCATCTTCCCCCCTCCCTCCTTCCCCATCTCCCCTCTTCCCACCCCCCTCTCCCCCACCGCCCTGCCAGCGCAACTACGGGCCAGGATGGCAGCCCAGAGCGCTGTGGGAGGCCATGGGGGAATGCACGCTCTTCTCACACTCCCCCGTTCTCCTCCCTCACTCCTCTTTCCCTGCTCCCTCCCCTGTCTTGCCCCACCACCCTCTTCTCTTTCAGCGCAACTACCGGTTCTTTTACATGTTCACCGCCACAACAACGTTGCTCTGCCTTTTCATCTTCTCCCCTCCCTCCTTCCCCTCCTTCCCCCTCTTCCCTCTTCCCACCCCCCCCCCCCCCCCCCCCCCCCCTCCCCCCGCCAGTGCAACTACCGGTTCTTTTACATGTTTACCGCCACAACAACCCTCCTCTACCTCTTGTTCTTCCTGCCCCCCATCCCTCCCCATCGTGTCCCTCCACCCCCCGCCAGCGCAACTACCGGTTTTTTTTACATGTTCACCGCCACAACAACCCTCCTCTGCCTGTTCGTGTTCGCCATCAGTGCCCTCCTCCTCGTGCTACTCGTGAATAACACTTACGAGCCAGGGGGGCAGCCCAGGACTCTCTGGGAGGCCATGGGGCAGGCGCCTGTCGCGGTGATTTTGATGGTGTACACATTCATAGTGGTGTGGTTCGTGGGAGGGCTTACTGCATTCCATACATTCCTCACGGCCACCAACCAGGTATGCGTTGAGTGACTGGGTTGCATTGCATGGTCGCGTATGAGCGAGGAAGGCAGCCCAGAACGCTGTGGGATTGCTGCATGGGGAAGGCGCTTGTGGCGGTGATTTTGATGGCATACACATTCATAGTGGTGTGGTTCGTGGGGGGGCTTACGGCCTTTCACACGTTTCTTACGGCCACCAATCAGGTGAGATTTGCGCTTTGAGACGACTCAGAATCAATTAGGTGGGGATTGCTGCATGGGGAAGGCACCTGTCGCAGTAATTCTCATGGCGTACACATTCATAGTGGTGTGGTTCGTGGGAGGGCTTACTGCGTTTCATACCTTCCTCGCGGCCACCAACCTTCCTGTGGTTCGTGGTATGTATTGAGTGACTCAGTTGCACACCTTCTTACGGCCCTCAACACCCAACCTTCACCCCCTCCTTCCCTCCATGTGCTCCCACCCACCACACCACACATGGGAATTTCCGGATGCACTACAAGTTGAAGACTCTTGAGACGTCTCAATACTCACCACCAACCCCTCTCCCTCCCGAACATCAGCTCGTTCTAAACCCTCCCTCCCAACCCCTCCCTCCCCCTCGCCACCCCCACTCGCAAGACCACATACGAGAATTTCCGGATGCACTACAAGCTTATGACCACCCACCCACCATCCCTTCCCTCCACCCCCTCCCTTCCCTCCCCTTCCACCCCCTCCCTTCCCTCCGCCCCCTCACCCCCCTCCCCGTCCACCCTCTCTCGTCAGACCACGTACGAGAACTTCTGCATGCGCTACAAGCGGAGACATCTCATAACTCACCAACGGCGCTACAAGCGGAAGATGTTTGACAGACCGCACAACTCGCCAACCACCCGCCATACCCTCACCCCCCTCCCCCTCCACCCTCTCTCATCAGACCACGTACGAGAATTTCCGGATGCGTTACAAGCAAAAGTTTTCGAAGAGATTGAATAGCATGCCAACCACTCGCTCCCTCCAATCCTTTTCTCCACCTTTTGAGTCGACTAAAATGTCAACAAGCTGAAGTTTTCGAAGAGATTGAATAGCATGCCAACCACTCGCTCCCTCCAATCCTTTTCTCCACCCCTCCCTCCCACCAGACCATGTACGAGAACTTCCGCCCCCTCCCTTCCCTCCGCCCCCTCACCCCCCTCCCCGTCCACCCTCTCTCGTTAGACCACGTACGAGAATTTCCAGATGCGCTACAAGTGAAAGAGTTACGAAGGATTTCTTATATCACCACCCACCCACCGTCCCTTCCTCCACCCCCTCCTCCCCCCCCCCCCTCCACCCTTCCCTCCCACCAGACCACGTACGAGAACTTCCGCATGCGTTACAAGCGGAAGATGTTTGACAGACCGCATTACTTGAGTTTTGAGTCGACTCAAAACTCGACTTATCACACTTGACAGACCGTATAACTCGCCAACCACCAGCCATACCCCCTTTCCCCCCTCCCCCCCCCCCCCCCCCCCCCCCCCCCCGTCCACCCTCTCTCACCAGACCACGTACGAGAACTTCCGCATGCGCTACAAGCGGAAGATGTTTGACAGACCGCATTACTCGAGTTTTGAGTCGACTCAAAACTCGACTTATCACACTTGACAGACCGTATAACTCGCCAACCACCAGCCATACCCCCTTCCCCCCCCCCCCCCCGTCCACCCTCTCTCACCAGACCACGTACGAGAACTTCCGCATGCGCTACAAGCGGAAGAACAACCCTTACGACCTCGGCATTCCGCGCAACTTCCGGGAAATTCTCTGCGGCCCTATCCCGACTTCCCAAATCGACTTTCAAGCGGAAGCGCCCCAACCAGTCAAACCCCCTGGAGGCACCTCCTCACTCTCCTCATCATCTGCCACAGGTGCTGCCGCTGCCTCTGCTACTGTTACACCGGTTACCATCTCAGACACGATTGGTACCACTGCTAGCACCACTGCTGCTGCTGGTGCTGCTGCTGCTGTTACTGCTGCTGCTGTTGCTACTGCTGCTGGTACTGCTGCTGCTGGTAGTGCTGCTGCTGGTGCTGCTGCTGGTGCTGCTGCTGGTGCTGCTGCTGGTGCTGCTGCTGGTGGTCGGATGGTTAGCAGTGAGCCTATCCGCAGTGATGCGATAGGGAGGGACGAAATAGGCAGTTCCTCATCAGCATTTGAAGCAGCGTATGCCGCCCTGCTAGCCCAGTACGCCCTGCATGGGGAGGGGGAGGAGGGGGTGGAGATCGGGGAGAGAGGGGAAGATGGGGGGGATGGGGAGGGTGCGAGGATTGAACTTGGGGAGGGTGGGGAGGGTGGGGGAGGAGGTGGTGGGGGTGAAACGAATGGCGAGACCGATGCGATTGATGAGAATGGTGAGAATAATGGGAATGATGGGAATAAAGAGGATGAGGAGTCTTCTTCCTCTCCAGATGTGCCTATAGGCTCTACATCTGCCGAGTTAAAACACGATATAGGACCAGTTACTGCCTCGCACCCTCCTGCTCTACTCTCCTCTCCCCCACCCTCCTCTGCCCCTGCTGCTGTTTCTGCACCACCTGCCACTCACCCCACTGGTCTGGAAAATTCCGCTGCCGCTACTGCTTCTCCCGCAATGACAGATGCAGCAGCAGCAGCAGCAGCAAGAGCAAAATTAGCAGCACCAGTAGCAGCAGCAGCATCATCAACAGCAACAGCAGCAGCATCACCACCATCACCAGCCATACCACCAGGTTCAGCTGCATTGGCAGCAGTGGCAAGCACAGCAGCTGCCATACCAGACAGCATCCTTCAACCATCACAGGAAACCACCCATTCCTCCTCCCGGACCTCGCCCCGAACTTCCTCCCGAACCTCCTGCCAACCCTGTTCCCGGCCCTCCTCTCGCCCAACCTCCCAACATGCCTCCCCGACCCTAAGGCCCGGCTCCTGCCAGCCCTCCCCACCTAGGTTCGGATCCAGGGGGTGTTCGCCGCTCAAGGGGATGTTTTCGCCGTCGAGCAGAAGTCTTTCGTCTGGATACGAGTTGGTGGAAGGTGTGGGATTGACAGGAGATGATGGTGGTGCTGCAGCTGATGATATTCTTGAGAGCAGCACATTGGGACGAGGATCACTAGGTTAGGACTTGTGTGTGAAACGACCTAGAAGTCTTCTCCGCCGGGAGCTATAGGTGGTTGTTTTGGAGTGGATTTCTGTATAGCTGAATATTGTTTCTGGTTCACCTGCCAGCAAGACCCCCTGTTCACGTGCTGAGGGAAACTCAGACTCTCCAGGCCGATAGCGTTTGCAAATACCCCTACAAACAGGGGCGTCATTGGGTATCCCTCGACTTTGGGATAGACAAATCCAATGCCTGGGAAAATGCTAGATCATACTCAATACTACGACGATCCCGCAATTGACACATTTTCCACACATTGGGGTACTAATTCATGTCACCATCCCATTTTCAGTTTGTTTTTGTAGGCCGAGCGAATCAGCCTTTCCAGAAATTCTCAGTGGCCCTCCCGGGCCGCTGAGGGGGTTTGGAAATAGTTTTCAACCAGCAATAGACGCGTCTCGGATAAACCTCATTAACTGCGTCATTGCCCCAAGCGCAAAGATAAATTCCCATCGCAGTTTGCAAAGTTTATTCCAGCCTCGGCTTCCGTAAATGTTCACTTCGTGGGATGAAAACTAGCTTTCTGCCTACGTGGCAGATTCGGAAGCGTTTATTTTTACGAGCGTCCTTTCGGCCCTGCCTCAACCTTGCCACGCAAGCGCCCCTCCCTCCACCCGCCTTTGACAGAGTTTCTACTGAAGTTCCTAGTTCCAGTTATTTGCAGTGCGCGTCTCGTTTCTTAGCCAAACAACTCTGAGCAGTGAAGGGTGACACTGCTGGCGGAAGCCCGCGCAGGAGATTAAAGCGAGACCCTTCTAAGGGGCAATTATGCACCTAGAGTATCGGTATACGACGACTAAGAACCGATTATGCTCGAAATCTGCGACGGATTGTGTTCAAGCCTTCCCAGCAGGCGCAGCAACGTACCTATCGAGCAAATGTTAAACCATGCGATTCTGGTCGTTCCACCGCTTTCGATTTTGAGACGGCTTACGAAATGGCCATCGCCTTGCAAAACGTGGTCACGATCAACCGGCTGTTAGAAGTATCAGCTCTACTCGTGTTTTGTAGAATAGCCATCTGAGGCGCCTCAACCTCAACAGCCTCGCGAAATGGCCATCGCCTTACAAAACGTGGTAACGATCAACCGGCTGTTAGGAGTGTCATCTCTACTCCGCATGACTGTATACTGAGGCATGTAGTGTGCTCTACGTGCCACTTCGAGGAGCGACCCATGCTCGTTAGTCAGCGACGCTTGTGTGACTGACGTCTGTGAGTGAGCGAGCTTTCCCCTTCCATTCTTCCTGCTCGGAACAGCACCGGCCAGAGGCCATCCCATCTCGTTTTATCCACATGGCCATCCGATCGCGTTTCGCATTTTTGTTAGAAATACCTGCGCGGTCTTTCTAATGCTTGACTCTCCTGGTTTACCCCCCCTGCTTTGTCTCCCGATTCATTTCCCTCGGTTTGACGCACCTAGTTTAAAGAGCTAGTGTCATGAAGGGAAATGACACTAGCTAGTGGTTTTTCTGGTTGACTGAGGGGGTGGGAAAGCACTTGGATGACGACTCAGACTCAAGAGTCCCTGATGTGTTTTCCATTGTTTGGTTCCCCTGGTTTGATTCCTCTACATTATTCTCTCTGATGTGACTCCCCTGTTTCAAAGAGCCGTTTCAGGGCCTTGACTTTCCCTGGCGGAAGGAAAAAGGGAGAGTGGGGAGATGGTCCAAAATGAAAATAACGTCAGGTCTGTCACACAGCAGGCCCACACACAGCAGTGCGTGCCAATCTGTATCCCCACACACAGCAGTGCGTGCCAAATTGCCGATCTGGAGGCTCACACATGCCATAACAGTGTGTGCCTATATGGAGCCCCACACACAGCAGTGCGTGCCAAATTGCCCATCTGGAGGCTCACACATACCATAAAACAGTGTGTGCCAATATGGAGGCTCACACACAACAGTGTGTGACAATATGGAGGCTCACACACAACAGTGTGTGCCAATATGGAGGCTCACACACAACAGTGTGTGCCAATATGGAGTCTCACACACAACAGTGTGTGCCAATATGGAGGCTCACACACAACAGTGTGTGCCAATATGGAGGCTCACACACAACAGTTTGTGCCAATATGGAGGCTCACACACAACAGTGTGTGCCAATATGGAGGCTCACACACAACAGTGTGTGCCAATATGGAGGCTCACACACAACAGTGTGTGCCAATTTGGAGGCTCACACACAACAGTGTGTGCCAATATGGAGGCTCACACACAACAGTGTGTGCCAATATGGAGGCTCACACACAACAGTGTGTGCCAATATGGAGGCTCACACACAACAGTGTGTGCCAATATGGAGGCTCACACACAACAGTGTGTGCCAATATGGAGGCTCAGTGGCACACTCCAGTGCAAGCTTGTCAAATACCGCATGCTCGCCTTTCTCAATTTGCTTCCCCTTCTCAATCTCTGACTCAGGTACAAGACATTCCCACTGACAGATGAAACCTTGCCATTTTCAGCTTAGCCACAAGCTGCCAACACAAATTATTGCTACCAGTATATTACCTCTTCAAAACATCCAGGTCCAGGTCAAATGGGTTAAAAATCTACAGGGTGTTACATGACATTACATGACATGACAGCTGCTCATGCTACTTCGCATGCATATGCAAGAGGCAATACGAAAGCTTTTGCATCTTCTATCCACTTGTATCACTCTCCGTGGCGTTTGTGCTGCCATAACTCTAATTGCTACGCTTTGGCAGCAGTCAATCCAACCCAGCATACGCATTCCTAAGTTTTAACTAGGATTTGATCCACCTGTCACCTCTCCATACAAAAACGTCCTCCTTATAAGCATCACCGTTTCAAACATCTCCAGCCTTGACCATGAGTGTGTAGTTCCTGGTGGGGTCGAAGCACTTGCGATACACCAGGTAAGCAGCACCCAGCAGCACCGCAGTGAGTGCGGTAACCGCCGCAAAGGCTGTAGCACCAGTCAGCACCAGCTTCCCTCCTCCCCCTCCCTCGCCCTCGGTCTCTGCGTCAACCTCATGCTTCAACTGGGAAGGGCAGGGGAAGAGGGGGAAGAGAGTGGAAGTGCATAGTAATCCATGATGCGCATTCTCTTGAAAAAAAAAAAAAAAAAAAAAAAAAAAAAAAAAAAAAAAAAAAAAAAAAATCCTAGGAGAGAAACAAAAAATGGAGAGAAATGGAACTCTTTCATGAATCTAAACATTTCTCCCTCCTCTAGGATGGCACCCAACTGTACCTACCTCAGCCTCTCCATTCCCCACCCCACCGCTCTGCACAAGCCTGTACCTCTCCTTCCCCCCACCGCTTTGCACCCACCTGTACCTGTGCGAGTTGTGCAAGAGTCTCTTCCAGCTGGCTCGTGTCAATCACCCCGCCCACATGCCCGCCCGGCTGCCCAATCAGCCCCACCAGCCGCCCACACTCCTCCCCAAGCTTCTCCTTCGGCTGCTCCAGCAAACACTGCCCCACCACCCCCACCGCCGCCGCCGCCCCCGCCTTCCCCGCTCCCTCCCCCGCAACCACCCCCGTCCGATTCCCGCAAAGCTCCTCCACCACAGGGTTGCACGGCTTGACCAGATCCGCATCCTTATGATACATCCAAAGAGCCATTCGCACGGCGTAGGCGGTTTCAGTCAGGCATTTTCCAGAGAGGTTTTCCTGGTGCTGCACGAGGCACTGCAGCACGAGGGAGTGCGCCTCCTTGCCCTCGTCCACGCCCTTGCAAAAGGAGTCCACATCCCCCTCGCACTGCTCTGCCAGGGCGGAATCCAGCTTGTAGTAAGACGCGTGGCGGAACGTCTGGAGGTCCACCTCTGCCTTGCACGCCACTGACATGCCCACCTGGTGAGGTGGTGGGGAGGGGTAGAGGAGAAGAGTGGGGTTGACAAGAAGAAGGGGAAGGGGAGTCCCCTCGCACTGCTCTGGCAGCGCCCCGAGTCCAGCTTGTAGTAAGAGGCGTGGCGGAAGGTTTGGAGGTCGACTTCTGCCTTGGTGGGGGGGGGATGGGAGAGAAGGGGGGCGGGGGGTTTGCCAGGGCCACACCGTCACTTTCAACCACACTGCACAAGGATATCTTGCTACCCCATTACCCTGTAAGAACACCAACCCACCACCCGCACCTCGTTGATGCTCATCTGCAGGCACCGGAAGGCCAGCCCAGCCGTGGGCTTACGTTTTGACACCAACCACACCCTTTCCAATACCCGTTTACCCTGTAGAACCATTTGTAGCACCCCACCACCCGCACCTCGCCGATGCTCATCTGCAGGCACCGCAAGGCCAGCCCAGCCGTGGGCTGTACATGCTTGTTCCACTGTCACCCCAACCGCACTGCATCAAGCTCACCTCTCTGCTTGTAACACCGTTACATTACACTGTAGCATTCTCTTTCTCACCTCGTTGATGCTCATCTGCAGGCAGCGGAAGGCCAGCCCAGTCGTGGGGTGCACGCCGCGGCAGAAATGGTTGAGCTCCAGGCCACACGCGTTCATGAGCGTGGGGGTGAGACGGATGTCAGACGCCTGATAAGTGGGGAAAAGGAACAGTGAGCAGGACAGAAGGAGGTGAGAAGAAGGCAGAAGTGGTTGAGCTCCAGGCCACACGCGTTCATGAGCGTGGGGGTCGGACGCATGTCAGACGCCTGTGAGGGCAGTAAGCAAGAAAGGGGTGCCAAACGGGGGAGGTGGTTGGGATAGGTGAGGAGGCAGAAATGGTTGAGCTCCAAGCCACACGCATTCATGAGCGTGGGGGTGAGGCGGATGTCTGAGGCTTGAGCGGGCAGTAAGCAAGAAGGTGGGGGGACCACCTTCTTGTTTACTCACAACACCTACTGCCTGCACTTGTCCCACCTCCCCAGCATCACCATCCCACACCCACCTCTATTTCGCTCAACCGCAGCTCCTCCTCCTTGTACTCCTCTGTCAGCTCGTCCCTCTTGGCCCCAACCATCCCCGCACACACCAAACCTATCCACCACCCACTACCCTCACACGCCCACAGCCCATTATTATCTCGCACCTCCCTGTGTCACCCACCTCCATCTCGCTCAACCGCAGCTCCTCCTCCTTGCACTCCTCTGTCAGCTCGTCCCTCTTCCCCATAACCCATCCAGTACCCAACCCACTCAACTTTTCCCCCACTACACTCACACACCCACTGCCCATTCTTCTCCCACCTCCCCTGCCCGTCACCACCCACCTCCATCTCACTCAACCGCAGCTCCTCCTCCTTGCACTCCTCTGTCAGTTCGTCCCTCTTGGCCCGCAGGCACGCCAGCGCCTTGGAGTGGTCCCTCTCGCCGCCACACTTCTTCTCCACATCATTCTTGCACGCCAGCTGAGAGAGGGGAAGGAACAGGAATACGACAGGGGAAGGGAAGTAGGCAGTTCGTGCATCAGCGAGTTGCCATCAAACACCCTTTTGAGTCAACTCAAAAGGGAGTTGACTTTTGAGTCAACTCAAAAGGGAGTTGACTTTTGAGTCAACTCAAAAGGGAGTTGACTTTTGAGTCGACTCAAAAGTCAACTCGGAAGTAGGCAGGTCGTGCATCAGCGAGTTGCCATCAAACACCCTCTCCTTCCGCCTTGGAGTGGTCCCTCTCGCCGCAGCACTTCTTCTCCAGGTCACTCTTGCATGCCATCTGGGATAGCCTCCCTTAGAAAACACATTCTGTCTTTACATGCAGAGGCACGCCCACCCATCCCCCCTCCCTCACCCTCGTCCTTACCTGCAGGGGGATATCGAGCGAGCTGTCAGCAACCATGCGCTTCTTGAAGTAGAACAGCTCCTGCCGGCAACCCCATACCACCGCACTGCACCCCTTGTTGTGCCCATTGTTACTCTCCCTCTCCCCCCTCCCCTCTTACCTGCAAGGGGATATCGAGCGAGATATCAGCGACCATCCTTTTCTTGAAGTAAAACAGCTCCTGCCGGCACGTTTTAGAAGACAGTTTCCTCTCGTTCTCTGTCAGGCACTTGAGAGTCGCCCCCCCACACGTCACCCCGGTCTCCGTGCCGCCAGTTTCCAAGGCAGCGTCGCACGAGTGCAGGCACAGACGCTCGACATCAACGAAGCACTCCTTGTTCAGCCGGAAGTTGAGACGATAGTCTGTTGGGGGGGTGTGGGGGTGGGTAACCGGGAAGATGGGTGGGTGAGCACTGAGCAGAAGGCTAGGCCCAGCATCGCATCGCACAAGCTAAGGACTTTTGAGTCGACTCAAAAGTCAACTCAGCAGAAGGCTAGGCCCAGCAGAAGGCTAGGCCCAGCAGAAGGCTAGGCCCAGCAGAAGGCTAGGCCCAGCATCGCATCGCACAAGCTAAGGACTTTTGAGTCGACTCAAAAGTCAACTCAGCAGAAGGCTAGGCCCAGCAGAAGGCTAGGCCCAGCAGAAGGCTAGGCCCAGCAGAAGGCTAGGCCCAGCATCGCATCGCACAAGCGAAGGCACAGACGCGCGACGTCGACAAAGCACTCCTTGTTCAGCCGGAAGTTGAGACGATAATCTGTTGGGATGGAGGGGCAGGAGGGTAGGTGAGTATGTCACCCCGGTCTCGTTTCCACTGCACTCCAGAGCAGTATCGCACGAGTGCAAGCACAGCCGCTCCTCGTCAATAAATCACTCCCTGATCGGCTCCTTCCTACCCCTCTGCCCCTACTGCACTGCCTAAAGAAACCACGTGAAAAAAGGAGTGTTTTGAGACGTCTCAAAACACTCCTTGTCAATAAATCACTCCCTGATCGGCTCCTTCCTACCCCTCTGCCCCTACTGAACTGCCTAAAGAAACCACGTGAAAAAAAGAGTGTTTTGAGACGTCTCAAAACACTCCTTGTCAATAAATCACTCCCTGATCGGCTCCTTCCTACCCCTCTGCCCCTACTGAACTGCCTAAAGAAACCACGTGAAAAAAAGAGCGTTTTGAGACGTCTCAAAACACTCCTTGTCAATAAATCACTCCCTGATCGGCTCCTTCCTACCCCTCTGCCCCTACTGAACTGCCTAAAGAAACCACGTGAAAAAAAATGTGTTTTGAGATGTCTCAAAACACTCCTCGTCAATAAATCACTCCCTGATCGGCTCCTTCCTACCCCTCTGCCCCTACTGAACTGCCTAAAGAAACCACGTGAAAAAAAGAGTGTTTTGAGACGTCTCAAAACACTCCTTGTCAATAAATCACTCCCTGATCGGCTCCTTCCTACCCCTCTGCCCCTACTGAACTGCCTAAAGAAACCACATGAAAAAAAGAGTGTTTTGAGACGTCTCAAAACACTCCTTGTCAATAAATCACTCCCTGATCGGCTCCTTCCTACCCCTCTGCCCCTACTGAACTGCCTAAAGCGCACATACTCACTCTCTCCTGCGCGCTTCATATCAATCTTCGCCTCCTCCTTGCACAATACGCCCATGTCTGCGTCCCTCCCCAACATGCTAGTGTCGAGCCTTCCCCTTCTTGCTGTACCCCGCTAGCCCCATTGAAACGCCTGGAGCCCACTCACCCTCTGCTGCGCGCTTCATATCCTTCTTCACCTCCTCCTTGCACAATACGCCCATGTCCGCGTCCTCCACCTTGTCTTGCAGACACTTGATCACGTCCGGCTGGTCTGTGGGCGGTGGTTAGTGCAGACACACGGAGAGGAAGGGACAGGGAGGGAGGGAAGGACAGTGAGAGTGAATCACATGGCCGCGTCCTCCACCTTGTCTTGCAGACACTTGACCACGTCCGGCTGGTCTGCGGGCATGAACACAAATGTATGAAGGGGAAAATGCAGGTTCAACACACAAATGTGAGCCATTGTGAAGGTAAGGCCAACGTTCATTGCACACACACACACATGCACGCACGCACGCATGCACGCACGCACGCATGCACAGAGATAGAGACATAGACACAGAGGGGCGGGAGGGACAGGAGGGGCAGGAGGGACAGGAGGGCAGGAGAAGCAGGAGGGGCACAAGGGGCAGTACGCACAGCATACTCGTTACAAGGCAGCCTCACCTTTGCACAGAATCTTCATCTCGTCGGTGCACGCCTGCCTGAGGGGGAACTTGAAGTCTATGTCCTCTGCAAACCGCACCTCCTGCAGGGCATGATGGAAGGGGAGGGAGGTGAGAAGGAGGGAGGAAGGCATTGATATCACAGAAAGGCGTCAATTCAGCGCTCTCAGTATTGGTGAGGAAGAGACCTAACAGGGAAGAGTCCTCACGTAATCTGCAAGTGAGGTACTGGGATTTGGTATCTTGTGTTTTCATTGCAAAGGGGGAACTTTTTGGCTTAGCTTATACGGATGTGCCCAGGTCCGATTGAAGCTGTTAGGTCTCTTCCTACTTGAGTGAAGCTGACTGCATACCTGACCGCCCGCATACCTGACCGCCCCCATACCTGACCGCCCGCATACCTGACCGTACGTACACCTGCCAGCACGCTAGTCACTGCTTGACCTCTCACCTCCTGGAAGAGCGCCTCCTTGCAGTTGGCTCTGAGACCTTTCCGGTGCTCCTGCGTTCCTACTTCAATGCTCCTAGCCTTGCCTTCCAAAAGAGGCTCACCTCCTGGAAGAGAGCCTCGTTGCAGTTGGCTGTGAGGCCCTTCCGGTGCTCCTGCATTGCTATTTCCATGCCTGTCTGTCTGCTCTGCCTGCCTGCCTGTTTCAAATGAACCCTCCCAGTACTCCAAGCCTCACCTCCTGGAAGAGCGCCTCCTTGCAGTTGGCTGTGAGGCCCTTCCGGTGCTCCTGCAGGCACAGCAGCACGCGCGCATGGCCGGGCGGCACGTCCTTGCACAGCTTGGCGGAGTCGTCTGCAGAGGGGGCAAATGAGCAAGCGGGAGGGGGAGTAAGGGGGTTATGAGTTTTTACTGCCACAAGCAAATGCACATGCACAGGCACATTCACCCTTGCACATGTACACATAACCACTCACACTGACAAGCCTGGGTGAGGGGGTGGTTGAACCAGATATCCTCCGATGCCCTCTTGGTCAGCTGGTGCACCTGCTGTCGGCACCATGGGTCCTTGAGCTCATGGCCACACGTGCACACCCCCATGTGCACAGTCACATGTTCACGATTTCACTCACGCTTGCATGCCTGGGCCAGGGGGAAATTGAAACGAATATCCTTCGACGCCCTCTTGGTGAGTTGATGCACGTGCTGCCGACATCGCAGGTCCTTGAGCTCTCAGATCCCGCGGCCCATGGGATGGGACACACATAGAGATGCATGCACGCATGCATGCTTGTGTGCCCGCCCAGACACTCACCCTTGCATGCCTGGGCGAGGGGCCGGTTGAACCGGATATCCTCTGATGCTCTCTTAGTCAGCTGGTGCACCTGCTGTCGGCACCGCGGGTCCTTGAGCTCATGGCTCGCCCCACAGGCCATCCCACGAGACACACACCGAGATGCATGTGATTCGCGCGCATGCACACTCACCCTTGCACGCCTGTGCCAGCGGCCTGTTGAAGCGGATATCCTCAGAAGCCCGCCTTGGTTAGCTGGTGCACCTGCTGCCGGCACAGCGGGTCCTTGAGCTCGCCCCATGGAGCAAAGGCGCAAAGGTACAACAAGCCATCACAAGCGCGCACTCAGCTACTCACCCTTGCATGCCTGGGCCAGAGGGCGGCTAAACCGGATATCCTCCAAAGCCCTCTTAGTGAGCTGGTGCACCTGCTGCCGGCACCGCGGGTCCTTGAGCTCATGGCAGCTCGCCCCACACACAGGTGACACAGATACAGATGCATGGGTGCGCACAGACACTCACCCTTGCACGCCTGGGCAAGAGGCCTGTTGAAGCGAATGTCTTCTGATGCTCTCTTAGTCAGCTGGTGCACCTGCTGCCGGCACCGCGGGTCCTTGAGCTCCCCCCGGTAGTCCTGCAGGCACTCGATCACCTTGGCGTCTCTGTTGGCCACGTCCACCACATCCTCTGCGTCTTGGTAGCACGTCTGGGGAGATGAGCAACGTGGGGAAGGGGAAGGGGAAGAGGGGAGTGGGGAGAGGGGGGTGAGGTGAGCTCCCCCCGGTAGTCCTGCAGGCACTCGATCACCTTGGCATCGCGATTTCCTACATCCACCACATCCTCTGCATCTTGGTAGCACGTCTGGGGGTTGGGAGTGTGTGGGAAGGGGGGAAGGAGCGAGTGGGGTTGGGGTTGGGAGTCGGTTGGGGGTGGAGATAGGGACAGTCCTGCAGGCACGCGATCACCTTGGCATCCCTGTTGGCTGCATCCACCACATCCTCTGCATCTTGGTAGCACGTCTGGCAATCCAGGAAAAGGGTAATGGGAAAGGTAGGGAAAAGGCTGTAAGAAGAGGGTACGGTAGTCGTGTGGGCATCGCGGGTCCTTGTACCCCCCCCCCCCCCGGTAGTCCTGCAGGCACTCGATCACCTTGACGTCCCTGTTGGCCACATCCACAGCATCCTCTGCGTCTTGGTAGCACGTCTGGGGAGATGAGCAACGTGGTGAAGGGGAAGAGGGGAGTGAGGGGAGGGGGGTAAGCTCCCCGCAGTAGCCCTGCAGGCACTCGATCACCTTGGCATCGCGGTTTGCTACATCGACTACATCCTCCGGGTCTTGATAGCACGTCTGTGGGGTAGAGAAACGGCGGTGTGGATGGGAGTGATGGGCGGGAAGGGGCTATGAGCAAAGACGGTAGTCCTGCAGGCACTCGATCACCTTGGCATCCCTGTTGGCCACGTCCACTACATCTTCTGCGTCTTGGTAGCACGTCTGGGGGTTGTGCATTACAGGGAAAGGGAAGAGGAGAGTGGAGGGAGGGGCAGCTAGAATAGGTGGCGGAAGTCAGACGCCCATGCTTCTACCCTGCCCGTTTCACATTAGTATCACACCACACTGCCACAATCAAAGTCCCACCCACTCACTGGGTTTCTCCCACGCACTCTTAGTCCTGCCCACACTCTAGACGAGATTCACCGTGCTGATATCCTCAGCGCATTACTTGCGCAGGTTGAAGTCCAGGAGGAAGTCAGACGCCCTTACTTGCTTCTATCCTGCCCCAACTCACACTACCGTCACTGTGCTGCTACCAGCCACTCACCGTGCTGCTACCAGCCACTCACCGTGCTGCTACCAGCCACTCACTCACACTGCTGCTTCCACCCACTCACCGTGCTGATATCCTCAGCGCAGTACTTGCGCAGGTTGAAGTCCAGACGGAAGTCCGACGCCCTGCGCTCCATCATGTGCTCAAACTCCACCTTGCTGCGTGGGGGGGCGAGAGGGGGGAAGTGAGGCGAGGAGATGAGGGAAAGTGGCGGGGAATAAGAGAGTGGCAGCATGAGTGTTTCCCTGCGCTCCATCATGTGCTCAAACTCCACCTTGCTGCGTGGGGGGCAAGAGGGGGGAAGTGAGGCGAGGAGATGAAGGGAAGTGGCGGGGAAGAAGACAGTGGCAACACGAGTGTTTTTGAGAATTCTCAAAAACACCCAGCAGCTTCTGAGAATTCTCAAAAACACCCTGCAGCCCTGCGCTCCATCATGTGCTCAAACTTCACCTTGCTGCGTGTGGGGGAAAAGGGGGTGAGGAAGGGGGGGGGAGAGGGGAGGGGGGGGAGGGGAGAATAGGGAGGTGGGGATTGGGGTCAACGAGACTTGACGTCCAGGCAGAAGTGGGACGCCCTGCGCTCCATCATGTGCTCAAACTCCCCCTTGCTGAAGTGAAAGGGGGGAAGGAGGGGTTGAAAGGAGAAGGAAAAAGGGAGGGGGGAGGAGGGGGGAAAAGGCGACGTGAGTGCTGCCCTGTGCTCCATGATGCACCATGGGGTGTGCTCCATGATGCACTCGATTTCCACCTTTCTGCGCGGGGTGGAGGGAGCATATGTTTTTTGAGAATTCTCAAAAAACATACGATGCAACATATTTCCGTCCTACGAATGTTAGTGTGTTGGCGTCTACCAAAGAGGGTACGCAACCTCTGAGTGCTACCCTGTGCTCCATGATGCACTCGATTTCCACCTTTCTGCGCAGGGTGGAGGGAGAATCTGACCCACCCCCCCCCCCCCCCCCCCTCTTCTCCGCCCCTCACACCTTCCTCCCCTCACCCCATGACTTGAGAAGTCAGTGTTTAACAGCAAGTATTTTGAGGCGCCTCAACATACACCTCAACGCACTTGAGAAGTCAGTGTCCAACAGGTGCGACTCCAAGCAGACCTTCACCTTGCCTGCCGTCACCCCCCCCCCTCCCAGCTTGTCTCACTCATTCCTGTCGTCCCTCTCACTCATCATTCCTAAACCCCCAACCCCGTACCCTGTCTCCCCACCTCCCCAATATCTTCCACTCACCAGGTCTTGGAGAAGTCAGAGTCGTGCAGATGCGACTCCAGGCAGTCCTTCACTCGCGCATCCCCTGGCAGCACGTCGGGGCAGAATCGGCGCTTGTCCTCCAGGCAGGCTGGGAAGAGGGCGGGGCAGAGAGAGGAGAGGAGAACAGATAACAGGATGGGAAGAGAAGAGAGAAGAACCGATCAAGCATCGCTTTGCAGCACATTGGGGCAAAACCGGTGCTTTTCCCACCGGCAGTTTCTGAGACGTCTCAACAGTTTTTGGAGCAAACACGGTGCTTTTCCTCCGAGCAGTATGGGAGAGGTTGATGTGAGAAAGAGGAGGGGAAGGAAGGGGAGAGAAGCGGACGAGGAAGGAAAGGCGGGGGGGGGGGGGGGGGGGGGGGGGGGGGGGGGGGGGGGGGGGGGTGGGAAGGAGGGGAGGAAGGAAAATGAGGAGAGGGAGGGGGGAACTGGATCTATATGCCAAACCGCGATTTGAGAAGTACATGTATGTATGTGCACTGACGCTCACCTTTGAAGAGGCGAGTGTTGAGGCGAATGTCCTCTGAGCTCTCTATCTCCTGCCGGAACAGCTCCGCCAGACACTCCCAGTTGAGGCTGTTCCTGTGGTCCCTCTGGTGGAGACACATACACAACGGAAGGAAAGGGCGGAAGGACGGACGGAACGAGGGAAGTTGGAACAACCAGCACAGAGTCGCTCGCACTGTAGCCGCGCAACAACCCCCAACCGAACTCAAACCCCCCTCCCCTCCTTTCCCATTTTCCCACATACAATCACACACACACACGCAAATCCAACCCACCAGGCAGTCCCACACCCGCCCTTCCCCAGTGCTTTCGTCCGTGCACAGCTGCTGGACGCCCCCAGAGCACGTCTCGTTCGGCTGAGGATCCAGAGCAAGGTCGCTCACATTCAACCGCACAACACCCCCGAAACCCCAACCTTCTTACCCCTTCATCCCCACACACAGCACCCACCAGACAGTCCTGCACGCGCCCCTCCCCGGTCGGCACATCAGCGCACAGCCGCTGCACGTCCCCAGAGCACGTCTCGTTCAGCTGGGGATCCAAGACAAAGTCGTTGGCCGCGTCCTGCTGCGCCTCAAACACCTTCTGCCCACACGCCTCCGATATCTTGCCACCCGACTTGGCCTCCCTGGTAGCAACGAGTGTGAGGGGGGGTGGGGGTTCGGCAACGAGTGAAATGGCTTCAGCTGGGGATCCAAGGCAAAGTCGTTGGCCGCGTCCTGCTGCGCCTCAAACACCTTCTGCCCACACGCCTCCGATATCTTGCCTCCTGATTTCGCCTCCAAGGTAGGAACAAGTGTAAGGGGGAGGGTTCGGGGGTTTGTGGGGAGGTTGAGGGGAGCTGATGCAGGGGGGTGAGGGGGAAGGGGAGAGGGGGGGGGGGAGGGTTGGGAGAGGGGGGAATGGCTTCAGCTGAGAGATGAGAAGTCATTGTCACAGAACGAGGGAGATGCTATTCCTGCGCACCTCCATTGCATTGCAATGCCCCCCCATTTCCTAACACGGGCGTGACTTTGGGAAGGGGTTTGAGAGGAGGTTGAGAGGGGAGGGAGGTGGTGGTTGGCACGCACCTGAGGCAAGCGAGGACGCTGCCAACCTCGGGGTAGAGAAAGTCGTCGTCACAGAGCGGATGAGGATAAGAGGGGCGTAGTAAGTGGGAGGAGAGGGGGGCATGTGGGGCTAAAAGAGGCATACCTGAGGCAAGCGAGGACGCTGCCGACCTCGGGGTAGAGAAAGTCATCGTCACAGAGCGATGAGATGTCGTCCTTGAGAGAGGATTTGAGAGGGATTTTGAGAGGGGAGGGACTGGCACCTAAGGCACGCACCTGAGACAGGCGAGGACACTGCCGACTTCGGGGTAGAGGAAGTCATCATCACAGAGCGATGAGATGTCGTCCTTGCACACCTCCACTGCAGAGACCCGCGTTTGCCCCCATATACGTGAACACACACAGAGAGACACACACACAGACACAGACACACGCACGCACACACACACACACACACACACACACACACACACACACACACACACACACATCCCTCCCCACCCCCCATCCACAAAAGAGAACACACATGACACGGGCAGACAGAGAATCGCAAACGAGCTTTAGGGAGAAACGTGTGTCAGCACCAGCAGGACATCACTGCTAGAAGAAAAGAGAATTTAGGGTGAAAACGTATGCAGCCACAGTATCACTAACAGTTTGTTTAAGAGTAGTTCTCTCTTGAACCCCTAATTTCTCCAACCAAGGGTGCAGTAAAGGGTACAAATCCTCCAACTTTGTTTACATCTTCATCCTCCTTACAGCAGTCAGGCTGCTAACACCACTGAGGTTTTGAATCACGTTAATCTCGTATCCACAATTTATTTCTTCGCAATATCATGTGCGTGTCACTCACTCATTTCCTTATCAATTGAGGTGTCCTTGTACACCTCAATCTTAAACCGTCGGATGGCCTTGAGGCACTTTTGAGGTGCCTCAACAGCCATGTTCTTCATTCACAGCACTTACTCATCTCCTTGTCAATCGAAATGTCCTTGTACACCTCGATCTTGAACCGTCGGATGGCCTTGAGGCACTTCTTGCCAAACTTCTTATCGGCCGAAGCAGCTGAGGGGTAGCGTGGAGGCAAGGCCAGCGGGAAGGGAAAAGAGGTAAGGGGCCAGGGAGAAGGGAACCGGGGTAAGAAATAAGGTTCAAATCTGAACCGCCACAAGGCATGTCGTATCCAATATCTTGTCCGCTGAAGCAGCTGAGGGATGATGTGCGTGCAGGCCCAGGGAAAGGTTAAAGGGGAAATGGGAAAATGAAAACGGGTTAACCTTGAACCGCCCAAAGAACTTTGCTGCGTAACTTCTCTTCAGCAAAAGCAGCTGTGGGATTGTGATGTGGGCCAAGGGGAACAGGGCAAGGGGAAACGGTTCTCCCATGGGACATTCCAGTTCCTTCTAATGGATAGCTCCTGTTTGAAAAACGTACATTAGTTAAACTTTTCGTCAGTGGCCTCGTCGTCACTATCCTTGCCATCAGAGAGTGCTAACTGTCAGAGACCTGACTGCTCACCGTCAGCAGCTTCACTGCTGACCGTCAGCTGCGCCCTGCTCGCTCACCGTCAGCGGCCTGAAATCTAACTGTCAGCGTCCTGACTGCTAACTCGACGGCCCTGAATGCTCACCGTCAGCGCCTGACTGATAACCGTCAGCGGTTTCTCTTCTCACCGTCAGCAGCCTTGGTGAGCTTGAAGCTGTCAGAGAGGCAGCGCTCCAGACTCCTGTTGCCCACGTCCACGCCCTCGCAGAACGACTTGATTTCCTTCTTGCACGCTCCTGCACGCACACACGCAATCACGCACAGCAGTCACGGTAAATTTGAATGAAACACACCCAGCTTGTATCGAAGCGCCTTAACACCTGCTGCTCACGTCCCTGCACGCACACACTCAATCAATCAGGCGCCGCAGACACAGCACAGCACACACATTCGATGAAGTCACACACCCAGCTCATATTGAGATGCATCAACACCCGCCTCAACACCTGTTGATCAGGTCCACGCCCTTGGCTTGATCCCCGCCTTGCACACCCCTGCACTGCACGCATACATTCGCTCAAGCTTTATCCACTGCTTGGCCTGGGTAAGCATTGCGCTGTGCACGCTCCTGTGACAGATCAAATGCTTGGAACGTAATAATCGGACAGGACTGAGACAAGATGGGAGTGCGTTAAGCGCGGAACCGGGAGGCTAACGTGAAGCGGAAACGACGAGTTCATTCAGATTGGTCCGTCAAGATTCTACGATCTGGTGACCACTGTTGGAGAACGCGAAACGATCGAATTGACTCAAGTGAAGCCGTCGGGGTTAACGATCGGACCAACGTCAGCGAGAGCAAGGCACAAGCCCCATTCACGAATCGTCTGCAGGCTTTGTGTCACTCGGATCTAATCAAGAAATTTTACATCATCATAACGTCGCCATTAAATTTTATAATTTTGTCCGTACCAGCAGGGAAGATGTCTCCCGCTTTCTTCTCCGCCTTGATGATATCTTGCTCCAGCTGACTTCCCGGAGGGGGGTCCTCCCCATCCCCAGCAGCAGCAGCGTCAGCTCCGGTGGTATCCTCCCCCTCTCCCTCGTTCTCGTCCTTCGCCGCTTCCTCTGCTGCGGGAGCTGATTTCGCCTCTTCGCCTTCCGCCTTTTCCCCTTCATCGGCGGAAGCCTTAGCTTCCGCCGCCGATTCCCCGTCACCGGCGGATTCTGCTGCATCTGCAGCGACTGGCGTTTTTTCTTCCGTAGCTGCTGCATCCTCTGCAGCGGGAGAATCTTCTGCAACCTCTGCAGCGGGGGAATCTTCTGCAACCTTTGACGTTTTCTTCTTGGCGCTGACCATTGTAGAGGTCGTGGCCAATAGGAACAGAAGGAAGATCGCGATCAGTTGAGTGCGTTTCGCCTGAGAACCAATGAGAAAAATGAGAAAATTCATTCGTTATAACAGAACAACATTCATAACAAAATACAAAACAACTGGAAGAGAACCGCCTTCATACTACTAAAACGCCTCACCATTGTGACTCGAGAGAAAAGGACCACTTTTCTGCAGTCTGAGTAGCTTGGCCAGGAGTATTGATATCTAGACGCTTGTCAGATCACAACACGACTCGCTGACATGCATTGGCGCCGACGCACCGGATCCGTATCAATCTTGATAAGCCTAGATGGATACCGTACTATGAAGCCTTGACCCTTTAGACGACACAGGACGGCAATAGTCTCAAACACTCTCAAGCGTGGTTCTTAGAATGCCTGAACGAAGATCAGCATTCTCATTGCTTGCAGAAATCAGACCTTGAGACTGTGTGGCTGCAGGCCATTTAGATGAGGCAGTTGTTGCAATCCTTGGTAGCTTCTCCACGGTATAAGCAGTTCTCGATCGGTTTGCAAAGGCTCAGAATGGTCTTCTGGAAAAAAGGCGTTCGTCTAGTGGTGCTTGTGGGGTCCTCGAGAATGGTTGGTTGGTGGACCCACCTGCCGCGTGTGGTTCTTCGCGAAACTCCCTGATCGCTTAGCTTAACGTTTTACATCATACTTGACGGCCGGAGATCCCCCAGGTGGTCGGTGTGAATCAATGGTTGCTGAACCCTGGTGCATTCCCAAGGAGTGGCATGGAAGTTCATTGTACGGTTTGGTATAGCTGATGTAGATTTCAAAGCGGTTTTGCATCATCTACACTGGTTTCGTAGGTTTAACTTTTCGAGTTCGGCTGAAACTGGCCATTTCGTTTCGTGGGCTAGACAATTCAGTCGGATCGCAGATTCGCAGGCCGTCAAACTGGCATGTGGCGGGAAATTGTGATCCACGCAGGTCTGCGATAAAAGCGAGCGGGCTGTTTCGCTCCACAATTCCGTTAGCGAAATTTGTGATTACAGAAAACACACACATTCACATCGTCTGTATTAGATTCCACAGCTCGTTGAAAATTCAGTAGTGTTACACATGTACCTGAAACGATGCCCTCTGTATGCCAGCTTTTTTTACTTGGTATTTCCCTCCCACTGCCTAAGAAACTATCACTCGGTACCTCCAGGCCTAATAACTTTCTCCTCGCAACGTTAATTCCAGCAAAACTATTTCACTAAACGCGGTTTCGGAATTTTTCTGTATTTCACTTCGATGTCCGCTGGCCCGCTGCCACGTCAGCAGCACCAAAGCGGCAGCGACGTTTCTCCAAGAGGCTCATTCTGGCAGATTCGCCGTTTCCGCCGGCTAGGCTTCTACACGGGGATTTATATCGCGTCTGCCTGTGCCGCGTACACCTACGCTAATATAGCGTACGTCGAAGCCCTGCCTTCGTCCTTCCGCCGTCCCTCCCCTCGTCCCTCCCACTCCCTGCCCTGGTCATTTCCGACCTCTCCCCTCGTCCCTTCGCTCTCTCTATCCACATGGCTTCCCCCGTTCTCGTCCCCACTCTCTCCAGCATTCAAGCGCACGTGCCGCTGGTGGCTAAGTGTTACAGCGGGTACTAATTATTCAACTCGACACAGTTTATCTCCCACGTTCTCTTACCCTCTCATTCCCCCACCCCTCTTCCCCGCCTTCCCTCCCCCCTCCCCTCTCCCCATTTTGCTAGCATTCGAGCGCACGTGCCGCTGGTGGCTACGCCTTACAGCGGGTATGCTTCTGGCGCGGAAATCCTAGTGGACACTACCAAGGTGAGCGCAAGTTTGAGGCGCCTCAAAACTGTGCTTTTGGCGAGGAAATGTAGAAAGAAGTGTTTTGAGACGTCTCAAAAGAAATTCTAGTGGACACTACAAAGGTGAGCCCAAATTTTACTCTATCTTACATCGATACCACCATATCATATCATATCAGACCACTAAGATGAATACTACCACTACCGTGCACTTGCATGCACTCGAAACGCTACTATAAGTTTAAAATCCCTCGCGACTCCTCCTACCTTCTCTCATCGTTCTCTTCTCTGGTCCTCCTGTCCTCTTCCTCCTTCCTTCTCTCCTCCTCTCTCCTTTCTTCCCGCATCAGCTGTACCAGGGTATCCTGGGAAACGTGATAATAAAAGTGTTTTGAGACGTCTCAAAACTCTTCAGCTGTACCATCTTACTCCGGGAAACGTCTTTGAGGAGACCAAACGGGTTCTCCTCAAGTTCACCATTCAACGTCTCCTCGCTTCTTTCGCTGCTTCTCTTTCTCTCCCCTGGTCTCTCCACTCCCTCCTCTGTGCTTTGTTCAGCTATACCAGCGGGCACTGGGGAACTTTTGAGTCGACTCAAAAAATGTCGTGTGCCATAGTAACGAGGTGACTTTTGAGTCGACTCAAAAGTCTTCTCTTTCTCTCCCCTGGTCTCTCCACTCCCTCCTCTGTGCTTTGTTCAGCTATACCAGCGGGCACTGGGGAACGTGTTTGAGGAGTCTGACTGGGGTGTCCTCTGGATTTCACCATTCATCATCTCTCCTTCTCTCTTACTCTTCTCTCACTCTTCTCTTCGTTCTCTCCCATTTCAGCTGTACCAGCGGGCACTGGGGAACGTGTTTGAGGAGTCTGACTGGGGTGTCCTCTGGATTTCACCATTCATCATCTCTCCTCTCTTACTCTTCTCTCACTCTTCTCTTCGTTCTCTCCCATTTCAGCTGTACCAGCGGGCACTGGGGAATGTGTTTGAGGAGTCTGACTGGGGTCCCCTGGAGTTCACCATTCTAGCAAAGCACTATGAGAGGCAGGGGCAGCGAGCGTACGCCTACCATGCTGTGAGTAACTTGGGTGTGGGGGCACAAGCCGAGCGGTATGCCTATCATTCGTCTTTCCTGTTTGTCTGGAATAACTGACTCCGATCTGAGCAAAGGAAATGCATTTTGTAAGCTTTCGCCACCCACCCCCTTAGTCCCCCTCCCCTCCAACCACTCAAAACCATGTCAAACCAACCATCAACCCTTAATCAACCATCCACCCCCGCCATCCCCCCACCCACCAACGGACCTTTTTTATTCTCCCAGCACTACATGGCGCACCTTATCTCCAATGGAGAGGTTGACGGGACCAAGCCCTCCTTGTGACTCGTCATAGAGTGTTAGGGTATGGTGTAACAAGTAGTATGCCTTGAAATACAGCCCTCTTATACATTGTAATTAACATGTTTGTTTCTTGTATACGAACAGTATGTGCACTTGTTGCAACAGTTCGATGGCAAATAACCTCTCTACAGTCATCAGGTTATGTCCAGATAATTTTTGCAAGTACCTACGGTAGTAGTAATACTAGTAACGTACATTAAGTTAGCGTATAAATAATACACCTCATGATTCACAAACCTCAGCATCATGTTGTCCCATCCGGCTGCGACATTCCACTCCCAATCAGGCCTCCATGAACCCTCCCATCACTACCCACTCCCGCTACCTCATGCCCCCGCCCCCCTGCCTGTACCATCATCCCTCCAACCCCCATGTCAGCACCACCCATCCCTCCGACCATCCCCATCCCGCCCATACCTCCCATCCCTGCCTGCTGCATGTGCAGAGGCATTGGCAAGCCATGACCACCAGACACAAGCATAGGTGAGGGGCCACCAGTAGCATTAACAGCAGCAGCAGCAGCGGCAGCAGCAGAGGGGTGTATCCATGCCACAGGCCCCCAGAACATGGGCACTGTTGCAGCACCTGGGGTTACACCTGCTGCGGCGGAAGGCAGGTGGGAAGGAGCAGGAGCTGGGATCAACTGGTGTGGGAATAAGGCAGGCGGGCCGGGAGGAAATGTTTGTATGATCTGCATCGGTGCTGCTGCTGCTCCTGATGCTGCCCGCGCTGCTGCTATCGCCCCAGCATTCCCTGCTTGCATCCCCACACCTGCTGCTCCCCCCCCTCCCACCCCTCCTGCCCCTGCCGCTGCCCCTGCCCCTGCCCCTGCTCCTGCCCCTTCTCCTCCCGCTCCTCCTGCCCCAGACATAGACCTCGGAACCAGCGCTCTTAAATTCGTCGTCGCCCCACACGGCCCATTCTTCGAAGGGACCTTCTTCTGCCTGCCCCGCTTCCTCTTCACAGGAGGCTCTACCCGCTTCACCAGCCTCCCCTGCAGCTGCAGCTGCTGCCTGTAAGCACCCACGGCACCCATGGGTATCATTCCCGTGCCTGCTGCGGCAGCAGCTGCCATCATAAATAGAGCGGGAGGCACGCGGTTGTGGTGGCAGGAGGGGCCGCCGGTGCAGCCTCTCCCTCCCATGCAGCAGTAGCCGCGGTTAGCGTGGACTGATACTGCTCCGTTGTAGAAACCTGCTTTGGATATACCCCCCATACCCATCCCTATGCCTGCCCCCATGCCCGTATTCACACCCAAGCCCATTCCTGCTGCTTTTCCTGTTGCCTTCTTGCTTCCTGTGCGGAAGCCTGGGCTGGATTTCCGGCTGCTTTTTCCAGAGCTGCAGCTGCTACCCCCCCCCCCCTCCTCCGCCTCCTACCCCCTTAGTTCCGCCGCTCCCCTGTCCCCCCGATCCACCCACTCCCTGTACTGCCTCGTTCTTTCCATCTGCAGATGCTGCAGCTCCTGTAACAGCTGTAGCTTCTGCTGCAACTGCTGTAGCCGCTGTAGCTGCTGCTACCTTATTATTGTTCGCGTGGCACGATGCCCCATATTGGGGGAGATTGGACGAACGGCCGAGACTTTGGGGGGAATGAGAAGGGGTGGATTTGGCAGCACGGGTGGCTACACCGAGTTCCTGGGTTGTAGCACGAGCAGCAGCAGAGGTAGCAGAGGCAGGGGAGAAGCAGGACGGAGAGGCTGCTTGTGATTGGTTGGTGGAGGATGGGGAAAAGGGTGCATTCGCATGGACAGTGGCAGTGGCAGCGGCAGCGGCGCTGGTATTGGTAGTGGCAGCGGCAGTGGCTTCTGGCTTGCTTTGCATACAGGCAGGGAGGAGCACAGTGGATGGAAGCTTCGGCGCGGATCTCATCTGCCCTCCCATCTGCCCCACCATGTGACTTCCCAGCTGTCTCCCCATTTGTCCTCCCATTTGTCCTCCCATTTGCCCTCCCATTTGTCCTCCCGTTTCCCCTCCCATCTGCACCCCCATCTGACCTCCCATCCGCCCTCCCACCTGTCCCCCCATTTGCCCCCCAACATTCCCAACACCCGATTCCTGTTGCTGCTGATGCTGATGCTGTTGTTGCTGTTGCTGTTGCTGTCGCTGCTGCTGTTGCTGCTGCTGTTGCTGCTCCTGCTGCTGCTGCTGCTGTTGTTGCTGCTGCTGCTGATGCTCTTGCTGCTGCTGCTGCTGCTGCTGTTGCTGCTGCTGCTGTTGCTGTTGCTGCTGCTGCTGCTGCTGCTGCTGTTGCTGTTGCTGTTGCTGTTGCTGTTGCTGTTGCTGTTGCTGTTGCTCAAGCAGCAAGAGGAGGTCTGACTGGTCTAGTTCGTCAAGGGCTAGATAGCCAGCAGAAACAGAAACCTCGTTGCCACTGATATGAAGCTGCTGCTGCTGCCACTGCTGCTGCTGCTGCACCTGCTGCTGCCCACCATTCATGCGCATGACATCACTTTCACTGCTCTGCACCGCACCAAAACCTCCTGGAACCTTCACTCCAGCAGCGTTCCCCCAAGCCGCCATCAACTCTAAGTCCATCGCTGCAGCATCAAACCCGAAACCCTCTCTCAGTAAATCCGCACTGGAAGATGCAATGTCCGTTAGACCTCCCTCCTCCAACCCCACCCCGAGCCCTGCTGCTGCTACATTCTGCATTGTCTGTACCTGCTCCATATGCTTCAGACTGGTGCCACGTGTTTCATTAGGACTGTGGCTGTGGCTATGGCTGTGGCCGTCGTTGTGCCTACGGCCTGCGAAGCCCTGACCGTGTTGGTGACTGTACACGTCGTTACTCCCTGACGCCCCACCGTCCTGCGCCCTTATTCCGCCCCCCATGTACATTTCGCCCCTGTCATCATCCCCAGCGCTGACGTCAGCGCTGTCCACGTCACCACTGGCAGTTGCGTCAGCACTAGCTGTAGCGCCAGCGCTAGCTGACGCGTCAGCACTGCCGGTTGTAGCGCCGCTGCTGTCTGCAGAAGCAGAAACCGCTTCCCCTCCAAAGTGCCCCAGCCCATCCAAGCTATCAAACCCCCCTGCCCCTGCCTGCCCCTCCCCTCCCTCTCCTCCGCCGCCCCCACCTCCAAGCCTTGTGACGTCAGCCAGTAGAGACATGAGCATGCCACCACGCACGCACACGTCAGCAGTCAGTGCCAAGTGCCCGCGGCACATGACGTCATCCTCTGTTCCCTCCATATCCGTACCTCCTCCAGCCGAACCAGCAAGCATTCCAGCACCTGCAGCCGAGCCTCCTTCCAGACCTGCCCCTGCCCCTCCCCCCGCTCCGCCCCTTGCATCTACGCCTGCTCCTGCTCCTAATCCTGCTCCTCCTCCTGGTCCGCTTCCGCCTCCGCCCCCATTCCATCCCCCTTCCGCGCCTGCCTCTCCGCCCCCCATCAATCCCCCCCCTGCGTCCCCCCCTCCACTGCCTCCCAGCATCAGCTCATCCCAGCCTTGAAGACTGGACCAGGGGAGGTCATCGTCAGGGAAGTTTAAATACTCCGCCAGGGCGTCAAACCCCATGTCCTCGGCCGCAGCTGTTACCGCGTCTGCTGCGTCTGCTGCTATCGCGTCAGCTTTTAACGCGTCCGCTGCTCCTTCCATTCCTTCCATACCCTTCGCCCCTTTCATTTCCGTACCTTTCCCCATGCCCACGTTTCTTTCCGAATCTAGGTCCTCCCCAATTGTCACATGTGCTTCTGCCTTCACGCTGCTCTTCGCAGCTACTAAGCCTGGGTTTGTGATTTGGCTGATGTCACGTGCTTGCTCTTGCCCATGCCCATGGATTGACGTGAACGCCTTTTCCAGATCCGTAAGGCTCTCAAACCCACTGGCACCGGCAGCACCAGCAGCAGCGCCAGCAGCACCAGAAGCAGCAGCAGCGCCAAGCCCTCGCTCCCACCCACTTCGACCAAAACCCTCGTTAGCCTCGCAAGAACCAATCCCAGAAACGCCCGTCCCTGAAACGCCAGCCCCAGAAAATTCTCCCCTGGAAAAGCCAGCCCCAGGGCCGAACCCTGGGCCAAAGACACTCCCGAAAAGTCCACCACCACGCACAGCGGCCTCCGAACTCCCAGGCACCGCATTCAACCGATCCCCGCCTTCCAGCCGCAGCTTGGCGAGGACACTAGCGCTAGCGCCCACGCCCACGCAGTGCACACTCCCATCAGCCTGCTGCACGCTCCCTTCTGCTTTGTGCATGCTCCCATCCGTTTGATGCACACTCCCAACCCCTTTGTGCACGCTCCCATCGGCCTGATGCACATTCCCGTCCGTTTGATGCACACTTCCTCCCGCTTGGTGCACGCTCCCATCGCCCTGATACACACTCCCACCCGCTTGGTGCATGCTCCCAAACCCAGCCTGCGTGCCGTTCAAGACATTCGCCTTCCCATGCAAGCCCTCCCTCGCGTTTGACCTTCCCTGCTGGCCGTCCTGCTGACGGCCCTGCTGACGGCCGTGCTGACGGTCGTTGAAGTGAAAATCCCGGCCGTCATAGCTGTGCGAGGCGTGCATGCTCGCGGAGTACAGGTTACCACCGTGAACAGTACTAGCGCGGGGCGGAATGCATCTTTGGGCACTGCCCCCGAAACCGTGGACGCCCCTTTTGGCTTCATTGCTCCCCTGCGCGCTGACCCGTGCGCTGCCTTGCGCGCTACCTTGCGCGCTGCCCCCTGCACTGCCCCTTACGCTGTGTGCACTGGACTTGGGGAAATGGAGCGCGCTGCCGTAGAGGCCTCCCGAGGCAAGGCCGCTGGTGTAAAAGCCGCCGCCGTGCACGCTGCTGCTCGCGTGAAGGCGGGCTAGGTGGTCGCCGCGTGCAGGGTTGGTTTCGCCGTGCACACTGCCGCCTGGTTGACTCGCTTGACCGCCATGCACGCTGCCGCCCAGTTGACTCGCTTGACCGCCGTGTACACTGCCGTCCGGTTGAAACAGCTGACCACCATGCGCGCTGCCGCCTAAATGACTCAGTTGACGACCCCAATGCGTGCTGCCGCCCAGTTGACTCGTTTGACCGCCATGCAGACTTCCCTCCCTAAGAGTCACCTGACCGCCGTGCATGCTGCCGTCTCGTTGGCTATTTTGACCGCCGTGCAGGCTGCCGTCTTGTTGACTAATTTGACCACCGTGCACGCTGCCGTTTCGTTGACTAAGTTGACCACCGTGCATGCTGCCGTCCCGTTGGCTCATTTGACCGCCGTGCACGCTGCCATCTCGTTGACTGATTTGACCGCCGTGCATGCTGCCGTCTAATTGATTAAATTGACCGCCGTGCACGTTGCCGTCTCGTTGACCCAATTGACCGCCGTGCACGCTGCCGTCTCGTTGCCCCAATTGATCGCCGAGCACGCTGCCGTCTGATCGACCTACTTGACCACCATGCGCACTCCCATCGCCCTGAAACCCTCCCGACGCACTCGCAGCACCAGCGCCAGCGCCAGCGCCAGCGCCAGCGCCAGCGCCAGCGCCAGATACAATGCACCTAGACCGACTCTCCCAAAGTACACTCGTGAGATCCGCATCGTCCAGCCGCGGCTGCAGCGACGATCGCGAACCACACGCCGTGCTCCCAGACCCTGCCGCTGACTTGCCGGACGAATAACCGGCGGACTGGTTACCAGACGACGGGCTGTCGTTCCCGCGGTGCTGCCAGCCCGGCGAGCCGAGGGGAGACGCAGCAGCGGGAGGGGATAACCTGTGAGGGAAGGCCGCGAGTTGAGTCTGCCCGGGCGCTTGCATCCCCTGAAAGTGCAGTCGTTGCTGCGGCGGCGATCGCAGCGTATGGTCCGTGGCGTTCGGAGAGAGCCTGTACGTTGCAGGAATTTGCTGCGGCGGCGTCGATCGCAGTGTGTGATTCAAGGCATTGGGAGAGATCCTGTCCGTGTATCGACCCTCGTCTGGCGCGAGCGATCCGTGCTGTTGAGAAGCGAGTCTGAAGGCGGTTTGACCCTGAGCTATCCCGTCTCTTCGCCCGGTCCATTCACCGCCCGCGGCAGCAGCAGAAGAGGCGGCGGCGGAGGCTCTTTCCACCCCTTCCATCGGGGTTTCGCCGCCTCCTTGCAGCGCAAAAGCTGGGCTTTCCCGTGCCGAAAAAACCCTTGACAAGCCGACGTCGTTCCTGCGGCTATGCGGCAAATGAGGAACTTCGAGCCTACTGTCGAGCAACCCTGAAGACGTTGCGCTATCGTAGGGCATCGCCACCGTATCGCCTCCGTCCTTCCCGCCTGGCCATCCACCATTAAAACCGCCGGCGTGACCCGACAACACCGCCTGATTCTGCTGACCGCCAAAAGTGCCATCCAAACGCGCGGTCGAAGCTTGGAGGTGGTTGCGATACGCAGCAGCCGAAATACCTATGTCGTCAACCGAGACCGTCCTAGACGCGACATTTTGAGCCTGGAGCGCGGTTTCCCTCTGAAAAGCGGTTTGAGCCTGGAGGGTGTAGAAGAGGTTTCCGCCATGCCAAGTCCGGCTTCCGTCAGCCATAGGGTATACAGGAGTGAACGAGCGGTGATCTAGAGCGCTAAGCTGGTCTTCTAAGGTGTCTGCGTGTGTCCCTGATGCCATTGCTAAGGTACGATCCGGAGACGAGACGAATTCCTGTGACTTCGGAACCTGCGGAACGAGCGGAGGGATAAGGACGTAAAATTGCTGTTTCAAACAAGGACAGCACGGAAATCAAAATGTGGAAACGAGATCGATATAACAAACGCGGGGTTGGGTACGGGGGGCAAGAAGCGCGATCGCGGGAGCAGCATGCACCTCGAACGAGGTGTCAACCTCCACGAGAATTTAATTACCTGAAAATCGGACAATTGCGCCGCTTGACGGCACGCGTCTACCCGACCCGTATTTACAAGACCCGGTCCTCCACCACCCTCGTTAGCTATGACGAACATTTCGTCGGAATCATGTCTTCATGAAGCCCTGAGACAAACCATAAAAACCACGAAGTGAGCAGATTTTCTACCCGGATTGCTGCATGAGTAAAGGAAAACGGAACCAGATGGAATCCAGGCTTGCTTTTACTCGGTGAGACGAACAGGAGCAAGCGAATGCATGAAAATGTGATAACTTAAACTTCACCTTACACAGAAGTGAAATTAGCCTGATGTAGGGGTGACGACAATGAGAGGAATCTGGAACACGTCCTCCTCTTCACTCTACGAAGCTACAATACCAAGCTGTGTTGCGTGATGCAAGAATGACGCAAGGACTCAACAGCTGTACGGCTGTTGAGCGAGAATAACTTGATTTTTTATATTGTTTAGGCAGAGTGGATGCGGCCACAAGACCTCTGAAATCGCAACGTCACAAGTATAATCCAAAACCCTGGCGTGGAATGAGCCTAGTATTCCACGAAACTAAAGAGGAGGGATACAAGCATGAAGTTGGCCCCGAGGAGATGAGGAGGAAGAAAAGCCCTGTCTTGGACAGCTCAGGATATCCAGCAAGTTGTCGAGCCTTGAGAACTCACCAGCCTAGAGAGATCCAGCCTTGGAGCTTTCAGCCTTGGTAGCACAACTCCAGCCCAAGGTAAAACCCTAGGGAATAGTTTGCACTGGAATCAGTACCAGAATAACGAGGGGAGGAACCTTGCGGCGCTGTAACTGGTCAGCGCGGAGGAGCACGTGGAGTGGTTGACGTTCATCGGACGGAAAATAGAGCTTTCAGAAACTTCCAGCTTGAATCGGAGGGTTAAGATTTGATGTTTCTAGCTACGTTTGGATGTTCCGAGCGACGCGATCACAACTTTGCCGGTTGTCTGTTCAGGAGGTCAGGCAGCCCTCAGTTATTGCACACACACATTCCTTACGGAGCGGTCTGCCCGCAGTTGAACGGGACGGAAGCCAAACGTAGCCGTCCACTCTCATCCTCAGCTGACGTGTACGCGCCCATGAGATTCTTGCATTCGGAGAAGCACGTGATTTCAGGAGAGCCCTTAATTGGGTAATCGACGCCTACCTGGCCTTTTCATTGCCCATCACTTCCGCCAGCGCATGAAGCGTCGACACGTAGGCGGATTGTAACTGGTGGCACAAAAAAGCAGGCCAAGTCAGCACATGGGCCACGTGAATTCGGCCGACCAATGCAGCATTGCTTCCAAATGCGGCAGTAGTTGACGGAGCTCGGAATCCGAGGGCTCATACATTACGGCCATCTGACACTGACACATCCAAAATTCCAATCCTGAGCAGGTATCAGTAATCCCAGTGCGACATCGTGTGCCGAAAATTGGTTGAGCCCAAGCCTACTAGAAGTTTCAAACAAATGAGCCCTTGGACTTCAACGGATTGAATCCGCCGTTCTCGATAGCATTCTAGGGCGTGTGTAACAATTGAAGCAATAAAGGTGGTGCAAGGAAAATTCCTTTTCCTTACTTCGCATCCCTGCTCAACGCGTACATCACTGTAGCACCACAGTCAGCACCGTTACCACTCGCAACCCTCGCATCGACAATCCGCCCGCCACCTTCGCACATCGCACGGCTCAGCGGGTAACCCGTGCTCCGGGCCTCCGCTTCGACACTTTTTCCCAACCTCAGTCTCAGGCCCGTCGCGCGACAACCACAGTCCATTACCGTTACCACTGTAGTTTTGCTATATATTCTTCGCTCATGCATTCGCTCATTGTACTCTTCCTTCGATAGTGCAATTCTCGTTCGTTCACTCAATTGCACTCGTAACACTTGGTATTCAGGGCCTACGATCTCCTCTCGGGCCGCACCCACACCTTCGCTTCCCCACTATCTCAATTTTTTGGGGGGGTAGACGTCTCTCAGCAACACAGCACCGCCGCTCGTAGTGCTCTCTCGTAAGCACGCACGGCCACGACCGAGGCTCTCGCTGAGCTCGCCCGACACCCCCGCCATGGCCGAATTCACGCTCGCCACATTGACGCAGGAGCAGCTCGACCGTCTGGTGCGCCAACTTGAAGATTCGGCACTCGAAATTGCGACGCTCACGGCGGAACGTGACTCCGCGCGTCAGCAATCAACGATGAACAATCCAGCGCCACCACATGCACCGACAAATGCATCTGCACAATCAGACGAGCCGATCGTCATCTCGTCCGGCACACCAACACAAAACAACAGCGTGGGACAGCACTCAGGCGCAGCCAGCGATGGCGCCGCCCAGCCGATGCCTGTCATGGGAGGAAACAGGGTCGCACCAAGCCCGCACAAGCCTCGCGAAGCGCGTCGGCACGTGGAGTTCGCGGCGACAAGTGGCGAACAGATCATTATGGCACCAATGCCACTCAAGCCGCAACGCCCGCCCTGCTTCGACCCGAGCCAGCGTCGAGGTCCAACGGTTCAATCGTGGGTCTTCACGATGAACGTCTCCTTCGACGTGAATTACGTCGAGTCGGACGCAGCGAAGATTCGGTGTGCCGTTTCGCTGCTAAGGGGCCCCGCCATGGACTGGTGGCGAGTCATCGTGACGTCGCCACGCGCCTACGAGCCACTGTCGCAAGAGGAAGGGCCCACGGGCCCAGCTGTCACCTGGAGTTCATTCTGCGAGACCGCCCAATACAGCACGTGGGATGCGTGGTGCGCAGGGCCTCGGTGGCGCTTCGAGCCGATCGCGGCTTCTATTTCGGCGCGTCAGAGATTGCGCACTTGGCGGCAGCTTAGATCGGTTCAAGACTATACGAGTGGTTTTCTCGCATTATGCGAGCAGGTCGGCTACATGCACGAAGCGGAGCGGGTGGACCGTTACGTCGTAGGGCTGAAGCCGGACATCTTGGACGAAATCATGCTACGCGGGCTCTCGAACTTCAACAATATTCTCGCGCTCGCCGAGAAAATCGACATTTTACACCGTCCGAGACAGGGGTCCTACTATGGACATCGTCCTCGGGGACCGATCGAGCACGCCACTGTACACGCTGTTGCGACGAATGCAGCGCCGTTTAAGGGGCGTTGCTTTGCTTGCAACAGGCCGGGCCATCGCAAGAGCGAATGCCCAGAGGAGCTAAGGCGCCGCGGAGCAGAGCAGGGGAGGGAGTCTCCAAAGCAGGGAAACGCCAGCAGTCAGTAGGAATCGGGCCAACTACTGACGAGACTGCCTGCTCGCCCAACCCCACTGACCCTCACCGAGTCACAATACAGATTCATGCTATCGATCGGACTCGGACGAATAAGGAGGTTACAGCGACGGATTGCCCAGTACTGATCCACGGAAAAATACAGGGAGCAGCAGTGAAGATTTTTATCGACGGAGGAGCTAGCCACAGTTTAGTTAATACCGCAACCGCACGAAAACTGCACGAGAGCCGCGCCGTTTAAGGGGCGCTGCTTTGCTTGCAATAGGCCGGGCCATCGCAAGAGCGAATGCCCAGAGGAGCTAAGGCGCCGCGGAGCAGAGCAGGGGAGGGAGTCTCCAAAGCAGGGAAACGCCAGCAGTCAGTAGGAATCGGGCCAACTACTGACGAGACTGCCTGCTCGCCCAACCCCACCGACCCTCACCGAGTCACAGTACCGATTCATGCTATCGATCGGACTCGGACGAATAAGGAGGGTACAGCGACGGATTGCCTAGTACTGATCCACGGGAAAATACAGGGAGCAACAGTGAAGATTTTTATCGACGAAGGAGCAAGCCACAGTTTAGTTAATACCGCAACCGCACGAAAACTGCAGCTGACACTTAGCCGTTGCTTACCAGAGATAGACGCACGCTTAGTCGACGGCACGCCACTGGCCATACGGGAAAATGTAGAGAGAGTCAAAGTCCGCTGCGGGAGAAATTTTGGGTTTACACAGGAAATGCTCGCAACGACACTGGATGGGCACGATATTTTAGTGGGACGTGATTGGCTGCGACGGTATAACCCGCGAATTGACTGGACGACGGGGTAGCTGCACCGTGCGAAGTAGTGGTAACTGGGTCGAGCTACCTCGCTGGCAGTCGCCCGAGTCTTCAACGGTACACGTCAATGCCATCACAATGAAACGGGTTGTAGCTGCTGGAGCTGACGTGTACGCAGTAGACATCGCAGTAGTACAGGAAGCGGAGCAGCCAAGTGATTTCAAGAAACTGCTGGCAGCCGTACCGCCCGAATTACAGGAACAGTTGAAACGATACCCCGGGATTTTCCTCGACGACTTACCGTTAGGACTGCCACCTCAGCGAGCATATGACTACCGAATCGAATTAGAACCGAGGGCACAGCCAACCGTACAACGCCAGTTCAGAGTGACACATCCCGAGCTCGACGAACTAAGGAAGCAGCTAGATTACCTGTTAGAGAAAAAATTCATCAGACCGAGCTCGTCACCGTTCGCCGCACCGATACTATTCACGCCGAAAAAAGACGCGGGTTGTCGCATGTGTATCGACTACAGAGCACTGAACAGGGTAATAGTCAAGTCGCGGTACCCCATTCCGCGCCGACGAACTGATCGACCAACTGCGAACAGCACGGGGAGGTTACCATCGGATTAGGGTCGAACCATCGGAATGCGCCAAAATAGCTTTCAGGACTAGGTACGGGTCGTTCGAGTACACTGTGATGCCATTCGGGTGACCAACGCACCGGCGACTTTTGAGATGACCATGAACGAGGCATTTAGGCCGCTCTTATATAAATGTGTAATAGTTTACCTCGACGACATTCTAGTGTACAGTCGGGATAAGCAGCAGCACTTAGCAGATCTGGAAGCAGTGCTTAAGGTTTTAGACGAGCACATATTACTGACCAAGGGTTCCAAGTGCGAGTTCTTACAGGATAGGTTAGAATTTTTGGGGCACGTTATTTCGGAGGCTGGAGTTGAAATCGACCCAAAGAAGCTGGATACGGTAAAAGCGTGGCATCCCCCGACGAACATCACGGAGCTGCAGAGCATTTTAGGGTTCGTTAATTATGTGCGTCGGTTTGTCCCCGATACGGCACGATTAACTGCCCCACTAACGGATTTACTGCGGAAGGGGGTCCCTTTTACGTGGGGGGAGAAAGAGCATGCTGCCTTCTCTGCCCTGAAAAATATGCTCTGTTCACCGCCCATCCTGCGCATCGCCGACCCACACCGCCCATTCGAAGTAGTTACCGACGAAAGCGATATCGCCATCGGAGCTGTACTGCTACAGGATTTCGGCAATGGCCTACAGCCTATCGCATACGAGTCACGAAAACTGCATCCGCCCGAGAAAAATTACCCGATACACGACCGCGAAATGCTTGCGATCGTGCACGCGTTCAAAGTATGGTGCTCTTACTTGACTGGCGTGGGCGTGATAGTACGGACATACCATAAATCATTACAGTACCTTCGCGCACAGCCACACCTCAACCCACGACAGATCGCTGGCTCGATTTTCCTCGAGTCCAACTTTCACTACACGGTCACTTACAAAAAGGGAGCCTCGAACATCGCTGATGCATTGACCCGCCCCACTGCCCCGATCCACGCAATACTACTCGCCCAGACAAGCCCGCTACTGACAGGCCTATGCACCCACGGGTACCAAACGGATCCATTCTTCACAGGAAGAAATTCGCAGCAGTTTGCCGCAGCAAAGGGAGTCTATTACGTAAAAACTGGGACTGACCGCATTTGGGTGCCTGGGTATACACTGCTACGGGAATTACTGTTATAGGAGGCACACGACGGAGTTACCTCGGGGCATTTCGGAGTAGAAAAAACACGGCAGCGGTATTATTACTGGCCCGAAATGTTGACCGACGTACAACGACACGTGGCATCGTGTCCCACTTGTCAACTCATGAAATCATCACGACAGCGGCCGGCGGGACAGTTGCAGCCGATACCACCCCCAGAGCGTGCTTGGCAGCAGGTGACGATGGACTTCGTCACGGGGTTACCAGCCGGAGCGAGTGGGAACGACGCGATCCTGGTCGTCGTCGATCGACTGACAAAAATGGCACATTTCGCAGCCTGCAAAAAATCAATCACAGCCGAAGAAAACAGCATGCCTCTTCATCTCCACCGTTGTTCGACTGCACGGGATACCAGCCGCGATCATCAGCGACCGTGACACGAAATTCACCAGCCACTTCTGGCGGAACCTGTGGCAGCAGTTCGGCACGCGACTGCAGTTCAGTTCATCATACCACCCCGAAACCGACGGACAGACAGAACGGACAAATCAGACCATGGAACAGCTCATCAGAGCCACGTGTGACGACCCGACCACGTGGGAACAGCAACTGCCACTAATCGAATTTGCGTACAACAACTCGCCATCCGTCACGACCCAACAGTCACCATTTTACCTAAACTACGGACAAGACCCGATAGTACCCATGACCCCGAATCCCGACAACCCAGTACGACGAGCACAACAGTTCGCCGAAATATTACAAGCAGTACGGACCCGGGCAGTAGACGCAATAAAAAAATTGAACATCGTCGCTAAACGCAACGCCGACCACCACCGCAGACCTGTCAGTTACCAGCCCGTCGACTTAGTTTTACTTGACACTCAGAACCTCCGACTGCCCATCACCCCGAAACTCCGCCTTCGATACTGCGGGCCATTTCGCATAAGCCACATGCTTACACTCGTCACCGCCCACCTCCTCCTCCCTGCTGACTGGTACGTTAGCCCCTCATTCCACGTCAGCCTACTTCGCCCTTACGTCCCGTCCACGAGCCAACTGCGACGCAATCGCCCAGCCAGCATAACAAGACCACCAACCAAACTAATCATCACCGCCGAGAAAATCCTGAGTCATAGAGTTCGCGACCCTCGAGGAGCCCGAAGGATCGAGTTCTTATTCCGCTGGAAGGACCGTACACCCACCGAAGACAATTGGGTTCCCCTGGACAGAATCGAAAACCACCCCGTCCTCACCGAGTATCTGCGCAGCCGAAATTTCAGGGATGTACACGCACTTTCGTAAGGAGGACCTCCTTAGGGGGGGGGGGGTAAGTGTAAGGAAAATTCCTTTTCCTTACTTCGCATCCCTGCTCAATGCGTACATCACTGTAGCACCACAGTCAGCACCGTTACCACTCGCAACCCTCGCATCGACAATCCGCCCGCCACCTTCGCACATCGCACGGCTCGGCGGGTAACCCGCGCTCCGGGCCTCCGCTTCGACACTTTTTCCCAACCTTAGTCCCAGGCCTGTCGCGCGACAACCACAGTCCATTACCGTTACCACTGTAGTTTCGCTATATATTCTTCGCTCATGCATTCGCTCATTGTACTCTTCCTTCGATAGTGCAATTCTCGTTCGTTCACTCAATTGCACTCGTAATAGGTGGACGGTCGATGCCCTACACCGTATTACAGCTTACAGCAGCACAATAATACGCGAATCAACCGTGTTCAGAACAGACAATTCTATCACTTTTTACATGCTCCACACCCTTTGCGTAAGGATTTTCACATCCTTACTGAGGCACTCGTTAGCGAGGTCATCCCGAGGGTCACACGACGAACCTGTTCTGCCTATTTTGTTGGACCGAACCACGCCCAGGTCGCCTCCGCACCAATCGCAACCATCACCGAGCCATCCCTTCCCGAACCCCCCGCCTAGCTAGCCTTTCCCCTAATTATTCGTACCATACTCATTGTATCGTCATTCAGTATTCAACCATTTTCGTTATTCGTTTTACTGCGCACTTTGCAAGTTCAATCATAACACCTTGGGCTCAGCACATTGGGCGAACACATGCTGCTTGAATTGCCTTTTTAGGGGGTGCATTGAATGCATTCAGTACAGTACACAGTATCCATCCTTTTTTTACACCAAACAACGACCCTGGGGTGAAGGTGGTTCTGTCAAACTGGCAGCACCAAGAGATTACTTCGCGAAAGAAAATGCATGCCTATTGTTCTGTTCTGAGGATACAAAAGAAGATGGCAGAAAGGGGGTAGAGAGGATGCTGCCAAACGTTTTGTTCTGCTCCTGAGGAACAATGAACCTTGACTTGTTTCAAGTACTATACACTAGGTGCACCCATCCGATATACAAACGCGAGCACAACCTTTAGCATCTGTGATCGTAATTGGTGTAGGTGTCAGCAGCAGGGGAAGAAACGCGGGTTGGATGGAAGCTGGTACTCTGTAATGGTCTGCAGGGGAGGGTTTGGAAAAGAAGGGCGAGAGTAAGAAGAATGGGCCGCGTGTTGTGTCGAACCGGAGGGAAACAATGCAGGGAAGTAAGAAGAAGCACCGCGAGCCAGACTCACCTTGAGATTGTCCTTTGAGTCGACCCATAAGTCACCTCGGCAGCATGTGGTGTTGAATTGGAGGGAAACAATGCAGGGAAGTAAGAAGAAGCACGGCAAGGCAGACTCACCTTGAGGTTGTCGGAGGTAGGTGCTGAGAGAGGGGAGAGAGAGGCTCACCTTGAGGTTGTCAATACGTGGGAGCAGAGAGGGGGAAGACCACCCGCACATTGCCACACGGGAACAGACGAGTCACGCCCTTCCCACTACAGCCCCCAACTGATTGCTGGATTGGACCTCACAACGAAGCAGAATAGCAAGCAAGGCTCACCTTGAGGTTGTCGGAGGTGGGTGCAGAGAGGGGGAAGACCACCCGCACATCGCCACACAGGAACAGTCGAGTTTTCCGTTCCCTGCCGCCCTCACGCCTGTGCTTGCGGGATTCCTTTGAACCCTCCCCTTGGACATCCCCTTGCCCCTCCCATTGCCCATCACCACCACCAACATGACCACCACTAGCAGCAGCAGCGGCATCACCACCGCCAGTAGCAGCAGCAGTAGCAGTGGCGCCGTCACCACCACCACCAGGAGCAGCAGCAGTAACAGCAGCAGCAGCAGTAACAGCAGCCGCAGCAGCACTGCGTGGCTTGGGCAGGCACTGGAACTGCAGGTGAATCACAGCTCTCACTGCTCCCGATTGCGCCTCCTCTTGCTGCTCCTGTGTGTTTCCTTGCCTCGTTTGCTGCTGCTGCTGCAAAGGAGGAGGAGCTTGGTGGCTTGAGCAACCAGAAGCTTCCTGGAAGGGCGCGGCAGCGTGCTTGGGTGCAAGCAGCGTTCTCTGGCGAATGAAGGTCTGCCAGATGGGGAGGAGCGGACGAGATGGAGAGGGGAGGAGGGGAGAGGGGAGAGGAGGGGAGAGAGGAGAGAGGAGAGGGGAAAAATGCCTTCAGCCGAATGAAACTACAGGAGGGGAGGAACCTACATTACCTTGTTTCCCATCTCTCAAAACCCTCCTTCCACCTTGGAGTGGGGTGGCATTTGAGAGAGGTCGCAGGGGCAGGAGAAGGTGAGAATGGTAGATTGGTGGATTGCACACCTTACCATGCAATGTAACGGACACCTCACCTCACCACACTGCACCTCACCTCACCTCACCTCACCTCACCTCACCTCGCCTCACCTACCATGTCTCACACCACGCCTCTCACCTTGGAGTTGGGGGGCATATCAGAGAGGTCGTAGGAGCAGGAGAAGGTGTGGATGGGTGTGCCCTCTGGGTTCGACAGCAGCAGCTGAATGCGCCCTTTGGTCGGCACCCGCTCTCTCGCCCTCTGCTTCTGCCTCTGCTGCTCCTTCCGCCCATCCGTTTCAGCTTGCTGAAAATCACCAGACGAATTCGTTTCTACCCGATCATCTCGTGCTGCTGCTGCTGCTGCTGCTGCTGCTGCTGCTGCTGCTGCTGCTGCTGCTGCTGCTGCTGCTGCGGCTGCTGCTGCGGCTGCTGCCGCTTCTGCTCCCGTCCCGCCTTCCACTCCAAACAGCAGCTCCCTGCGAGTGTCTTTGCGCTTACCCGCGACTCTTCTGTCAACTGGAATCGCCGCACTGCACCCATCAGAACCGAGGATGTCAGCCCTGGGAGCATCACGACGAGCCATGCCAGCATGCTTGCTCGTGCCTGATTGCTCCAACCCCACCACTGCTACCCTCCCTTTGCCTCCACTCTCCCCCTCCCCCTGCCCTCTACCAACCGTAATGCTGGCAGCATACAGCTGGGACGGTGAGGAGGGAAGGAACGCGGCTGAGAAGGAGGTTCTGACCGGATCGGCCGTCCACTCCCCTTGCTGCGACAGCACGGCTAGCATGGCCTTAAAACCGCTGATGTACTGCCGTGTTGGGCGGGATACGGGGGACAAAAGCATAGGAACATGGTTTAGGGGAGTAGAACAGGACGTGGGAAAGGCTGCCGAGAAGGTGGTTCTGGATTTAACTTTTGAGAATTCTCAAAATTAAAATCCACATAAGCGTAGGAACATGGTTCAGGGGAATATAACAGGATGTGGGGAAGGCTGCCAAGAAGGAGGTTCTGACAGGGCTAGCATGGCTTTGCTTTTTTGAGAATTCTCAAAAAACACGCGCTGCAACACATTTCCCTCCCACGTAGGTCGGCAGTCCACTCCCCTTGCTGTGGCAGCGCCGCTAGCATGGCTTTGAACCCGCTGATGTACTGCCATGGGATGGGGGGGGGAGGGAAGAGGAGGGGGGAAGGGAATATAGAAGCAGAGGGGCGAAGAGAAGCAGAACAGGAGGCAGGAAGGCGGCTGAGGAGGTGGGCCGTTCTGATAGCCGATTGGCCATCCTGCTGCGACAGCACCACTAGCATGGCCTTAAACCCGCTGATGTACTTCCATGAGGGGAGGGACAGAGGGACAAGAACGGGGAAATAGAGGAGGGCGAGGGGATGATGAAAAGGAGGGCAGGAAGGCTGCTGAAAAGGTGGTTCTGACAGGAACGGCGGTCCACTCCCCTTGCTGCAACAGCACGGCTAGCATGGCTTTGAACCCTCTAATGTACTGCCGTTGGGGGGATAGGGTGGATAGATCAAATAATAGAAACGCATGGAAACAGCTCTTTTAGCCCATACACATTGACCCCTCCCCCCCCCCCCCCCCCACAACTCCCCCCACTCCCCCCACTCCCTGCACTTCCCCCACTCCCCCCACTCCCCCCACTCCCCCCACTTCCCCCACTCCCCCCACTTACCCCACTCCCCCCACTCCCCCCACTCCCCCCACTTCCCCCACTCCCCCCACTTCCCCCACTCCCCCCACTTCCCCCACTCCCCCCACTTCCCCCACTCCCCCCACTTCCCCCACTCCCCCCACTTCCCCCACTCCCCCCACTTACCCCACTCCCCCCACTTTCCCCACTCCCCCCACTTACCCCACTCCCCCCACTTTCCCCACTCCCCCCACTTCCCCCACTCCCCCCACTTTCCCCACTCCCCCCACTTTCCCCACTCCCCCCACTTCCCCCACTCCCCCCACTTCCCCCACTCCCCCCACTTCCCCCACTCCCCCCACTTACCCCACTCCCCCCACTTTCCCCACTCCCCCCACTTCCCCCACTCCCCCCACTTTCCCCACTCCCCCCACTTTCCCCACTCCCCCCACTTCCCCCACTCCCCCCACTTCCCCCACTCCCCTCTCCTTCTTCCCTCTCGCAGATTACAGGCCCTCACTCACCTTTACCCCGCTGCCCTCCTCCTGGCCAGTAGCAGCCTGCCACATCAGCGACTCCTCAAACGAACCAACCAGCGACCGTTTCAGCAGGGATTTCCGCACGCAACTCCTCTCCCCGCTGCAAGCTGACGTGGCGGCCCTGGAAGCGAGCCAGCGGTGGAAAAAGAGGTCGCTGACTGTTGGCGCTGATGCTGGAGTGGTGTTGATGCGGCAGCTGCTGACGTGGCGTTCAAAGGGAGTGGCTGGGAAAGGAACTGGCACGGCCGAACCGGAAAACGACACATCAGCTTCGGAATATCCCGGACGAATCTGTGCCGTAGATACTGCAGGCACCAAGGTATCGATCCGACGGTTCTGAACACCAGGAGCGCAAATCAAGGGTCCAAGATTGCTGATAGGACTATAACACGGATTATTCCTGATACTCGAGCTGACGTGGAATGGTGTGCTACTAACGAGGGGTGAGCTGTGAAAAGACGCTGACAGCTCCTCGCTATGGTCACACACAGGGCTGAGTCTATGGGGACTGTAGCAGCGGTGCTTGTAAAGAGTGTTACTGTACTGAAACTCTTCGCAACCGTGAGTGCTGCTAACGAGCGCCGGGTGTGAGGGGCTGGGCTGACAGTGACGTGCATCTCTGTGCTTCTCTGGCGCTTCACTTGGCACTGCCAACTCAGCACACGTTGCCAGGTCAGCAGCTGGTGCCAGGTCAGCACCTGTCCCGGGCAGCAACTGCAACGTCTGCAGAGCCGCAGACAATCCACCACGATTGGCGTTGGCACTTGGCTTATGAGGGGCAGCGACAGCAGATGAAGCAGCAGCAGTGGCAGAGGAAGCAGGAGCAGCAAGGGTTGAAGCGGAGGCAGCAGGAAACGGAGGGGAAGCAGGTGCAGCAACGGCAGAAGTGGGAGCAGCAAGGGCAGAAGCAGGAGAAGCAGCAAACGGAGGGGAAGCGCCTCCTGCTGACGACGGCCTGAAGCGAGAGGGACGGGGGGATGGGTTTCCGCAGGACGGGGGGAAGCTCGCGCACGAAGGCGCAAGGGGCGACGCCGTGAAGCCGGATTGGCGGACGCTACCCCCGACGAAGGAGGATGGGGGAGGGGGAGTTGGCGGAAGGGGATTTGGCGGAAGGGGAGATGGAGGGAGAAAAGATGGGCTGAGTGAGGAGGGGGAGAGGGGAAAGCGGGAGAGGGGGGATGGAGAGAGGGAAAAGAACAAGAGGGGGGACGGGGAGGGGGGGGTGGTAGCTTGCTCCTTCGCCTCCTCCTCCTCCGCTTCCCCCTCATCAAAATGTCCCTCCTTCCCCTCCTCGTATATCTCCTCCCTCCCCTCTTCTTCCGCTTTTTTCCCTTCCTTTTCGTACACATGGTCGCCCCGCCGTGCAGCGTGCGACGTCGCCGAATCTCGCAAACCCATGTGCGACAGATGCGACAAGTGCTCCTCCTCCTCCTGCTCGTGCTGCTCTCCTGCTTGCGACGGCCGCACCTTCTGCGACAACCGTAGCGACTGCCACGTCGGATGAGCGACGCGCGACGGCGGCCCCGGGTAAGGAGCCGCTCCAGAAACCGCCGCTGAACGCGGCGGAATGCACGCCGTAACTGCCGGCAGGGACCCGTGAGCATTCTCCCTCAGACTGTCTGCCTGCCATTCCCTTGGTCTTTGTGACTGCACGTCAGGTTTCTGTGACAGCAAGACCGATTTCTGCGACTGCAAGTCTCTTAGCCTCTGCGCCTGCACTTGCTTCGCATGCGTAATCGCTTGCGACGACATGTTCGCAGCACAGCAGTCGTCATCACCGGCATCCGACTCGGCGACGGCTGGCGACGTCGCAGGAAGGCCGTCGCACGGCGACGAGTGGTCGGCGAGGCGGGAGCGGTGGTTACCCGCTGGAACTCGCACGGGGCTCTTCGCAGACTCAGGAATGGTCCTTCCCATGGCGTGTCCAAATGTTGAAACACCGTTTCGAAAACCTGAAAGGGTGCTTGAGGCCGTCCGAATGTTCGAACGTTGAGCCTGTCCGGATGCTCAGCTAGTAGTTGACTTCTATACCGTATTTCGGATGCCAGCTATGGTAACCACACGGACCTGTAACCAAGCAACTGTATAAGCCGTGCCACCGCACTAAATCGGAACAACTGACTTCAACGAGTAAATTTGTAGGGAACTCCACGACGACGTTGCTCGATACGCGTATCTCAGAGGCTGGGCACACCGCATAACCTGGGTTAACAGTGTGCTACACTGTTGGCCATACTAACTGTTTGCTGTAGGTTACCTTGCAGATAAGTAGAGGACGAGGAGAAGAAGACCAGAGGAAAGACAGGCAGACCAGGCATACTGACCATGCCATTCCCATGAAGTTATGGGATGGGCTGGGAGGACCCATGGTGAGGAGAGGTGAACTGAATGTGGAGGAGCCATGAATGGAACAGAGAATGTGATGGCTTGATGGGATTGGACGAGATAAGGATTTCTCCTATCATCCATGACCGCTGCATGCACGCCAACAGCAGAATGTCGGCCAACTGGCTCGACGAACGCTCGCGATCGCGGGACAGGACTCAGCGAGTTTCGTAAATGGTAACCTGCGGCTGGCTGGCAACGCGAAGGCTCGTGAGCCGTCGCCAAATGAGTGGATATGTGCTGTCACACTGGCGGCGACGAATGAGATGGACTTTCCTCCCTGGACTGATTGTGATTAGTTCGCTGACGCAGCTGCCAGTAACCACATACCCGACGCGAGAGGCTCACGAACTGTGCGAACTGGCTAACGAAAGCTTTTCGTGAGGACGATTGGATTGCACTCTTGCCTAGCTGGACAACCTGAGTGGCACGTGACAAGCCACAATTGGCGTTCACAGCGATTCTCAGTACTCGGTTCAGCAATGTGCTCGGCCGCGGGCAGGCTGTACCAGTGCAAGCAGACATCGTCCTTCTGGATCCCTCTTGTGATACTATGCTACACTTGCATAAATACGGTATAACAAGTTCAGTGGTAAACTCTTGACAGGCCACCATTTCCATCCATTCTTGAAAAGAGGGGAAGCTGCTACTACCAAATAGCACTTCACTCGAATGTGAGGTACACTTATAGAAATGACAGGCTAATGCACAGAGCTAGTCAAGCGAATGCACCATCCCAGGCCTCCATGAAGGACAGTAAGCTACACTTTTACGTGTTGGTGGCGCGGGTGTAGATGCACTGTGTGGCGTGCGTGGACACAACACGGATGCTGCCTCGCGACAACAGGTCCTTGATGGCCCGCCGAGCCAAGGAGCCGTTGATCTGGAATTGGGGGGAATGGATGAACAACATTATTTTAACAAGTAGCCTGCAACAGTTGAAGACGAACAGGAATAAGACACACTAATAAACGTGTCCTGCTCTGGCCATACAAGGAGTGGACTCCACAAACAATGGACACGGAGGAAGGGAAGAAGAGGGCCGGGACGAAGTTAGCTGGATAAGTGCTGTTAAAAAACCATCTAATTCCCAATATTTCCAGGATAAACAAAACATCAATACGAAGGGAATGAAGACGAAACATCAATAGTAAGTCAGAAAGCAAGATACTCACGCGCAGGCGGTCGCAGAGCACGGAGGAGGTGATGAGCTTCGTCTTGGGGATTTCGGAGAGCATCTTGTCGTACGTGGCCTGGTCGAACAGCACCATGTTGTTCACCTTCTCCTTCTGCTTTCCCTTGCTCCACTTCTGCTCAGGGGAGGGGAAAATAAGTGGAGATTAATCAGTCAGATGAGATCACTCAAACCGTGTTCTCCGTCTTGGCGCTTCTCTTGTCGTACGTGCTCTGATTAAAGAGCACCATGTTGTTCACCTTCCCCTTATGCTTTCCCTAGCTCCACTTCTGCTCACGGGAGAGGCGAAAACGTGGAGATGAATCTGTTGTATAAAACGACTCAGAACTGTATTCTCCACTTTCCCCTTGCTCCGCTTCTGCTCAGGGGCGACGCAATCAGTCCGGACAAGCACTGCCAAGCGATGCTACGCAATGCCAAGCATTGCGAAGCAAGAGAAGATTCCTGGGCTCAAAGGAACGCCATCAAAATCTCCTTCGTCCCCTAAGCGAAAACAGAGAGGAGGATCGGGCTAGACCGGCAAGAAGCGGAGAGACAACATAACCTAAATGTTCCCTGCACTGTCTTCAATAAAGTAGGTGACTGTGCGGCACACGCTCCATCATTCAAAACCGGGTAGGCGATACTGCTGCTGGAAGCGAGAGAGACTGCTCCAATTCTACGCGATCCTCTGCGGCTACATGGTTGAGGCCCTTCGAAACCCTAATCTCATCATGTCCTGTTGTCTGCGAATTCAACTTCTCGGAACACACGAATGCCTCCATCTCATTCACCCGCTACGCATACTGGGCGGAAATAATCTTAGCGCCAGAATCTGGGCATGGCGTAACAAACGTAACGTCATTCTGTGAGCTGGTGAGAATTGTCACGACATGGTGCAACCCGTCGTAACCCTCGCTACATTCGCTTTGAATGATCGTGGTGTGAGTCCTAGGTAGCAAGAAGAAAGCAGGAAAACAGCAAGCGGAAAAAACGAGAAGAGAAGAGACGGAGAATGATGCGACGAGTTGAACTTCGGGGAATTCGGCTGTGGATAACACGTGGAGGAGCAGATTTCGTGGCACGGAACGTCAAACAAAACGAACCTTTTTCTTCTGCTTGCCGCCTCCGGATTTGGCGGGCTTGGCTTGAGCCTTATCGGCCTTTGCGTCCTTCTTTGGAGCCTGATGACAGAGAGGAGAACGGGGAGGTGACGAAACGGGGACAGCGGCGGGGGAGGACGGACAGGAAGAGAAGAGCACGGAGACTCAGAACAGAACAACTCGTTTTCTCAACGAACAGATGACTCGAGTCCGCCGTATTGAATAGCGCTGAAAATGGCGATAGGCGTCAGCTAGTAGAAGTTTGGACTAATCGGCTACGGGTAAGAAATACTCGCGCAAAACTCGCAACGTAATAGCTTGCAGTGGAAGAAACACGCGGCGCGGCTCTGAAAGACTATCAGGGCTGAAGCGTTTAGAGAGGCGTACCATGGTGGGAGAAAAGGAGAGACAGATTAGGAGGTGCGGAGGAAAAAGAGGTAGCAATGGTGGGAGGCGAAGGAGATGGAGGAGGCGGGGGGGAGGCTGTGCGAAAATGGAGAGCGCGCGCAAGCGGAAGGGGGAGCGATGGGGAACAGAGAAGTTCCTACTGCAGGTGTGAAGCAAGCTCCAACAAAAAGTGGGAGCAAAACGGGATTCTGGTCTTCGTGAAATACCCTTTCTCGAAAGAGAATTTTCGCATGGATCGTGTAATAATTATCCAATATATAATAATCTGCTTATCACGCATATCACGCATAGCGAAAGTAGCTAAATCGGGACACTCTCATTTGGGTCCTGCCAGCAGAGCCGCACGCACCGACCCAATGCGTTTGAGCAACTTCCATTTCCATGACGTGGCAAAGCATCTACACTCATCGGCGGCCTTTTTGGTGTGTGATTGTGACGTGGCGCCAGGTGCAGTTAGCTGAACGAAATCCGAGCCTCCGCAACAAAGCCAAAAAGCGAATTTCAGAACCTCAGCCTCAGGTCAGGTTGAGCTGAAGCATAGAAGTTCCTCTCGCCGAACCGGAATGAAGGTGTTGGAAGGTTAGGTAAGCTCTATGCCTAGGTTTTCCCGCCTGATTCCTTCTGGTATGTCGTCAGCATGCTTCTTTGCTTCACTTTTCTTCACTCACATGAAGCTGACTTGAAAGGTTTGGTGGTTCTTCCTTGTTTGCTTTCTTTATTTTCCTTCCATGCAGAAACAGCATTTCCCTGTCTAGAAGGGTCTGTTAGTATTCCCAAGGTTCCTAGGGATCACCGTTACGGTCCTTTGACGTTCCCCTAGTGACCTGTCTTAGTCATCTACGCTGCTCAACTAGGTATTGACTTGACACAGCCCATGCATATGCACCGAGTCAGTCGCTAGGATTTTTCGCCAAAACGAGAGTGGCGGCTCAAGTACAGTAAATATTCAAAAAGCGTGATCAGCAAGAGAAGCCATGGAGTTGTGTGGATCGATAGCTCGGCCTCCTGCGGGAAGCTCATTGTAAGGGATTTCTGTAGCAATGATTGCCTTTAGGCCTTAGTACGATTATTACTCCAGTTTGAGAGGGCTGATCGCTAGATCTTAGAGACAACTCTTGGTTTGCCGCATCCTACATTAGATTCTCGGACGCTCCTTTTCTTATTTATCATACGTGTGTCTGGTCGCATGTTTGCAAACACCTTCCTTTTCAAGCATTTGTTATAACGATCCTCGCTGTGGTTCCAGGATCAGTTATTTTGCCTGAAGCTCACCAGCCTCGCCGCGCCCTATCGCGATACGTCATAGCAATGCAGCCAAGTATCCGGTTCTTCTCTTCCATCAACTTCTGTCGATTCTGTCCTTCATTTTCCCGTCACACCCTTCCCAAACAGAGACCAAATCATTGGCCCCAGAAACATCGCAGAGCGACGAGGGTCCAGAATTTCTTTATCACAGTGCTCTAGCAGAACCCCTATCTGTAGCCGTGCTCCGATCTGCCATCAGAGAGCCGTACGGAACGTTGGGGTCTGTAGCATCAGACCGAGCAGCAGCAGCGTACTAGAGAATCAGCGACGGGGTTTCTGGGGACAGCAGGTACAGCAGCAGCAAGCTGTAGCACCAGGGAGGGGCCGCAGGAGAGATGCGGGGAGAAGGGGATCTTTGGAGCGTGAAAACGCTCACAGGAAGGATCGGCTGTGTTGCTGTGCGGCTTCGTCGGGAGATGAGGAAGCTTCCGTTTCAGGGAACGGCGCAGCCAGCAGTCCTGAAATGCCAAGGTCAGTTGCTTTCTGTGTACGGTGTAACGGACTTCGAACAATCTTCATGGCCTCTTTCGGCCGCTGTTGAACAATACAATGGGGTAAACGCGAGAAGAGGAAGGAAATTGCTGGCCATGTATGTTGGGACAGCATGATCTGCATGATTTAATGAATATGCGAAATCGATGACACCATGACATCCGTCGAAAAGGTGATCGTTATTCCAGGAACGCGAGAATTGTGAACGGCGAAATTGGGGGTGGTGGTCTGCAAATTGAAAGCACGCGAATACGAATTTTGTTCGCGTCTTCTGAATGCTTCCCGTACAACCCTGTGGTTCTTCATGATATTGGGGGAGATGGAATGGAACTTCAACGAGAGTCTTTGTGGGGGAATCAAAAGAAGGGATAAAAAAAAGGAAAAAAAATGCTGTGCTGGAATGAGCGGAGGGAGGTGGAATGGAACAGATGCCAGTTGTCTCGGCTCCTACGACCTTCCGCTCCCAATCTCCTCTATTGCACTCTTGCATCTCCCCGTCTCAGCATGAGCACGGTCGAGATGGAGGTGCTCTCTGATTCCGACTCGGATCGAAGAACTCTTTTTCAGCCCCCGCGCACCCATCACTGCCCCTCCCCCCACCCCATCCCCTGACTTTTCATGCCTTCACTCATGGCAGCATGAGCACGGTCGAAATGGAGGTGCTTTCTGACTCGGACTCGGATTGAAGCACGCTTTTCCACCCCCCTCGCACCCATGTCTGCCCCTCCCCCCACCCCATCCCCTTTCTTTTCATGCCTTCACTCATGGCAGCATGAGCACGGTCGAGATGGAGGTGCTTTCAGATTCGGACTCGGAAGAGTTTTTCGCCAGCGAGGCTGACGACGATCCTGACCGTCCATCTCGAGGGCTGAATTCCATCTCGGAAGCCATTGAAGCCATCCGACGTGGCGAGGTGAGCTAGAGAGGGAGGCAGTGTGGGGGAAAGAACGACCCTGACCGTCCATCTAGAGGGCTGAGTTTCATTGAAGCCATTCAAGCCATCCGACATGGCTAGGTGCGCTAGGGGGAAGCAATGCCAATGAGGGGGGAAAGGGGCAATGGGGAAGGGAAGAGAGGGCAGATGGCGAGGATTGGAAGTACGAGGAAGGGGATAGAAGGGGGGAGGGGGATGTAGGGGGCTTGTTGCTGGTGAACGACGAGGACAAGGAAACAAGGGTGAATTGACATGGTGTTTCCCCTCTCATCCCGCCTTCCCTTCTCACTTTCGGCCCACCCTCCCCTCTCTCCAGATGGTGGTGGTGGTGGATGATGAAGATCGCGAGAACGAGGGCGATCTGATCATGGCTTTTTCCGCCCCACCCCGTCTTCCCTCCTTGCCTTCTCCTCTTCCTCCTCCGTCGCAGATGGTGGTGGTGGATGACGAGGATCGCGAGAACGAGGGCGATCTGATCATGGCAGCGCTGCAGCACTTAGGCCCCTTTCCCCACCCTCTACCCCACCTTCCTAATCTCCCCACAGATGGTGGTGGTGGTGGATGACGAGGATCGCGAGAACGAGGGCGATCTGATCATGGCAGCGCTGCAGCACTTAGACCCCTTTCCCCACCCTCTACCCCACCTTCCTAATCTCCCCACAGATGGTGGTGGTGGTGGATGACGAGGATCGCGAGAACGAGGGCGATCTGATCATGGCGGGCGCGCTCACCACAGAGGCGGACATGGCCTTCATCGTGCGGCACTGCAGCGGGCTCGTGTGCGTGGGCGTGGCGGGGGCTGTCTTGGATCGCCTGGAGCTGCCCCTGATGGTTAGGAGCCAGGAGAACGACGAGGCGCTGAGGACTGCTTTCACCGTCTCTGTGGTGAGTGATTGGGTGGGTGTGGAGGGGGAAGGAAAGGGGGACATCTGTGCTGAATGAACGTGTTGGAGGCTGTTCTGGATCGCCTGGAGCTGCCTCTGATGGTTCGGAGCCAAGAGAATGACGAGGCGCTGAGGACTGCCTTTACTGTCTCTGTGGTGAGTGCCTGGGTGTGTGGAGGGGGTATGTGTGTCTGGTGAGTGAGAGCATGTGTGGTAGTGTGTGCCGATTGTGTGGGTGAGCATGATGGTTCTGGACCACCTGGAGCTGCCTCTGACGGTTGGGAACCAGGATCTCAGGGAACCACAACGGGCGGCATTTATGCCTAGAACCGAGCCAAGGCAGTGTGTTTTGTTTATTGGCTCCAAAGTTGCAACTCGTCTCCTTCCTCTGTCACCTCTCAGGACCTGAAGCTGGGAACCACAACGGGCATATCGGCATCAGATCGAGCCAAGACGGTGCGGGCGATGGCAGACTACTCGAGTGAACCCTCTGACTTCCGCAAGCCTGGCCACATCTTCCCCCTGCGAAGCAGAGAAGGTACGGCGCTTCTTTATGAGTTCTCTGTCTGAAGCTACCACTGGCATGAGCAAGTCAGAACAGCTCATGCAGGCACCGGCAGGCAGACTAGTTGAGTGAACCCTCGGACTTCCGCAAGCCTGGCCACATCTTCCCCCTGCGGAGAAGAGAAGGTATGCACTTATTGTTTGTTTAGTCAACTCAAAGTCGTCTCAGTACAGCGCTTGATTTGGGATGCATAGCCTTAGCTGAGTGAGGGGCACACTGGAGCATCCGTAAGCCCCTCTGTGCTGGCCTGGCAGCACGGGCTGCCTGCCCCCTGTGGTCTGCGGTGTGAGAGAGTGGATGGGGTCACTTGATCGTATCATAATGTATCACTATCATGCCTTATTGAATGAAATGTCTCCCCTGTGCTCGTCCTGCCTCTCATCCATCCCCCAGGTGGTGTGTTGAAGCGAGCAGGGCACACGGAGGCAGCAGTGGACCTCTCAGTGCTGGCGGGGCTGCCTCCTGTGCCTGTGGGCATGGTGGGTGAAAACGGGTCTTTCATACAATATATCATATCTCAAGTCCCCTGTGCTTTTCACGTCGTCCATCCCAGGTGGTGTGTTGAAGCGAGCAGGGCACACAGAGGCAGCAGTGGACCTCTCAGTGCTGGCGGGGCTGCCTCCTGTGGGCGTGCTCTGTGAGATCGTGAACGATGATGGCACCATGGCCAGGATGCCGCAGCTCAAGGTGTTTGCCCGCCAGCACAACCTTTGTCTCATCTCCATCGAGGATTTGATCAGGTATGTTGGGGTACAGTGCGGTTGAATCCGGTATTGTACAGTACGGCTGGGTGCATTACTGT